AGAAGAAGAAGAAGAAGAAGAAGAAGAAGAAGAAGAAGAAGAAGAAGAAGAAGAAGAAGAAGAAGAAGAAGAAGAAGAAGAAGCATCCCAGACATACGCGCCCGCCAGCTCATCCGGCCGACTGGCCACCGCATCACGGAGCGTCCAATACGTCGCGTCCATGTGGAGCGGAGCCCAGATTCTTTCCCGGAGGAAGACGCCCAAGTCGCGGCCGGTGAGGGTTTCGATCGCGTGCGAAACGGCCGTGTACATGAAGCTGTTGTACATGTATTTGGTGCGGATGGCGGCTGTCATGGGGAGATGGCGCAGTCTTCGGGCCTCGTCTTTGGGGGTGCATGAGTTGTCGGGCCGGAAATGGTACGAGTGCTCTGGGAGGCCTGTTCGGTGGGAGAGGGCATCTTCGAGGGTGATGTGTTGGGTGGCGTAGGCGTCTGGGAGGACGAAGTCGGAGCGGATTAGGGATGAGAGGGGCGTTGTCCAGGTTAGGGGTTGGGGTTGTTGGGTGGTGGTGGTGGTGTTGGTGTTGGCGGCGTCGTCGATGAGGAGGGATAGGGCTGCTGCTGTGAAGGATTTGGTGGTGCTGGCTGTGTAGTAGAGGGTTTGTGGGGTGGCTGGCGTGTTGGGGTATTTGGATATGCCGTAGCCCTGGGTTTAAGTTATTTGGTTGGTTGATGTATACAGTGGTTGAGGATGTATATACCTTAGTGAAGGTATCCGGTCCATCGATGATGGCGATTGACGTGCCTGGGACGTGCCATTCGGCTAGGAGGGCGTTGACGAGATCGTCGAATTCGGGCGTTAGGGGAGATGTTCCGCGTTGCATGCTTGTTATATGTCGGAGAAGAGAGGCTAAGTATAGGCTGGGTAGGATTGGAACTGGGGTCAGAGGATATTGTACATTACTTATAGGATGCCCTTTGAACTTCTAAAGAATAAGCACTAGTTCGTTAGGCTACCGGCGTAGTTATATTAAAGGGAAGGTAAGGTAGTATTTATGCATATAGATAACCCACTCTTAATGTCGTATATTGTCCATTTTTGATCTCAGACCCTCCGCTAAGGATTAGTGCTTTTAGTACCATGGCTAAGCCTCGCCGAAGAACTGCTAGTGAAGTCTTGACGGGAGGTGCTGATCGGCCAACTTGGATAAGCTTGGGTGTACTTAATAAGACATTGTATTTATAGAGGTATCCCCATAGTCAATAGTTGGCACTGCTAGTATCATACAAAATCTAACTTATCGTACCATGGATGCACCGCTATCTTGCATACAACTACTTTGTACGTCTCTCATTCAACCGCCAATCTTGATAATCGTCTCTTCGTTAATTGTTCTCATCTGAAAATCGTCCAGGTCGGTAGTCTCGAAGAGCAGTAATGCATTATTCAAACAGTTCGACCAGACTCCTCGGGTATATATACAAATACACGCAGGAATATGCAGTAAGCCAGCCTTAAAACGCCAGTAATCGTAACACGGTAGCAAAACAAATGATTGTAGGACAAGGCTATGCAATACCTTGAGCCTCCATCCCTGAAATCGTAGAATATGAGTATGGTAAATCGACCAGCCCATCCAGCAGCCAATTCAATGGGTCAAAAACTTCGTAATTGGGCTCCATGAGCCCGCTGGGGAGTCCCGGGACGCTGCTACCAGACTGGACACTCAAGGTGGCTTGCGGAAGCATAGGTGCAGGTGCCAGGCTAGGATCTCCACCAATACCAGGCGTCGAGTTGGAAGTATGTGCAGCCCCAACAGACGACGCTGCAGAGGACTCGGCGTTAGAGTCTGGGTTGGTCGGGTTCTTAAGGTAGGCTGCATTTCGGATTAGTCTTTGGTTACACAGCGCGTCTGCGCTTGAAGCAAACATACCTTCGAGGTTTCGACCTTTCGTCCGCGCGTCTTCTCGCCATCGCCACACCGAGTCGAAAAGAAGCGACATACTCATGCGGCACCGGACTTTCAGCATCAAGGAATCGTCCATCTCGGAGTTGTCGGTGGACGGCTTGGGAGTTGGCGTACTCTGCAACCTCCACATCTGGGCTAGAACTTCGGCAAGCCGCTCCGGCAGATCATTACTAGACACTGACACTCCCCGGATAGCCCAAATAGTCCGGTTGAAAAGAGTCTTGGTATAATCCATGTTTATGTGAGCCGCAAAAAAGCTCGTGCCAAGCTTCAGCAGCGTACAGCCTGCCGCTACCATCATCTGGTAGATGTAATACGGCGTGTAGGAGAGTACCGGCCCAACCTCCGTTTCCAGGTTCATCGCAGCCTCCAGGAATGTTCTGGTTGCAACATACAAAGAAAGAAGACGATCACGGTAGTCCTTCTCAGTAGTATCGTCGAAAAAGACCGACAAATGTAGGTGCAGGTTGGCAGCACGAAGATAAAGATCGGTGATACCTGGGCAGATTAGTATGTTTCTCAATCAAGTCTCCATGGGCAAGGCTCACAATCATTCTGAGCCTTCAGCTGCGACTCGAGTTCATCGAAATCCCGAGAAAAGAACGAGATCAGCGTCGATCGTTCCTGGTCATTACACAGCCCAACAGGGTCTCGGTGGTTGATATAGAGTGCTCTGGTGACCTTGTCGCAGAGCTTTTCGATCTGAAGGCGCGCACGGATACCTTCCGGCAACTTGTAGTTTGGATCTAGTGACTCGCTTGAAAGTGTCCAGTCATACAAAGTGGACGGTGGCTGCCCATACCCGGTCGCAACCCTAGATGGCGCCTGTCAGGATAAAGATGACCCCGGAGATTTAGAGCAATGAGTGAAGACATACCGTTGAGCAACAATATTGCAGATCGCCCACGTCCTCACTTTATCTTTCAGTTCTTCTTCAATAAGCTCCACTCTGAATTTACTGAAATCTTGAGCATATGACGGGCGGTGTAGACCGAGCTGCATGGCCACCTGCATCATCATTCCACAAAGCATAAAGGTGGGATCGGTCGAGGTGCTGCTCGTGGGGAATGGCCATGTACAAAGCAAGCAGAGCGCTTTCACGACATGATAGCTTTGTGGAATGTCCGCCAGCGTACTCCATACCAGTCGCGAAACGGGGCCTGCGAGGGAGTTTAAAAGGTGAGTATCGGGCTGATAACGCCGGGCTCCAACGCTAATAATAGTCCAGAAAAGTAAGGGTGACGCATTGTAATATTCATCAGGCGACTGTCCTCGTTCAAGGAATGGAAGAAAAGGATGATAAAACGTAAAATACCTGGCAGCATTAGGACATCTCCCCAAGGCACCATATCGCAACCGAGACTTACAGATCAAATAGTTCTGTCACCCTCTCCGGCACAACGACGACATCTTCTATCCGTTTAAAGTTGTGGCTCCCGTTCCTCATATAGTTAGAACTATCGAAGCCTGACCGTAGGTCTAAAAGCGATGCAACTGCTTCGTGGGAGCCCATATACTGATCGGCAGACATGCCAGAAGGCGTGTGATAAACGCCAGCCGGACTAACATGGCTAGAAGGCTCCTGTTTGGGAGTGTGTTGGGAAGATTGTATAGACGGTGGTTGTTGGGGCATGGACGTGGTAGCATTCGCCTGGACATTGGCAATCTGCTTCCTCAGCTCGATGATCTCCCTTTCCATCTCCGCATTGCGACTGCGCTTCCCGATTCTCTTGAAGTTGGACTCGATTTTGCAATCAAGTCTCAAGCGACGACAACGGGAACAGTCCATCCATGGGTCTTGAACTACATCGCAGCGCAACTGCCGTACCCAAGTATGAATTAGTCTGACCCGTGAGGGCAACAGTGTAGTCTTGAATGGTTCAGGTGCTCACCTTCTGCTGACGACATTCGTTGCAGGCACGCTTCACAGGCTGCCTTTTCTTCTCCTCACGAAGCTCATTGTCTTCCACGTCATCGACACTGCCAGGAGAACTGTCCAACCCCGCCATGGCGACAGTGCGCTTCCTGGCTGGTCCCACGCCATCGGGCCCGCCAGTAGCCGAAGCAGAAGGATGGCTGACACCTCCCATTACGGGACTGGTGGCAGCAGGAGCATTATTCCCTGCACTTGGCTCCAGAATTTCCCCCTGCAGGCTCCCGCCTCCGATTCCGCTGGGCAGTGCTCCGAGTGACGCCAGGCTGGTTGCGGGTGAGTCGACCGATAAAGCTCGGACGGCAGAAAAAAAAAGGTTTTGACGTGACTAGTCACCACACAATTTCCACACAAACCCAGGAAGGACAGATAATAATAAAACAATAGGCTAATGGTACAGGGAATAAATGTCACCCCAAATAGTAATATGGATTATTCAAACTACCGTTCGCCAACTCGGTTGACTGGATGATCAGGTCCCCTCAGCGATGGATGAGTAACAACAGTGGGGGGGAGGCGATTGAGAAGCTGTCCGATCTCGCTCTCACGTGGTTGCCCGCCGCACGTGATGATAACGGAGGCATAATGAGGAGGAGATATAGTCGGACAGTCCCTTGGTTCATGTTCATGTTCTACCCTCGAAGATCCAAGGTGCACGCAGCACTCGACGACTCGTGATTTTTCTGGTCTACCTTGTCATGGTCCAAGTGACTTTGACAAGTTTATTTCAAGTGAAAGAGCATATGAGCCGCATTCTTCCGCCTCGCCGCATTGTAGATCCCCCATTCCGCATCTCCTGAGATCTTATTCTTATCACATACTTCCATGCCATGGTGGAACGCCGCTAGAACAACGGGTTTGTTAGCCGACCGTCGCTAGGAACCGCTTCGTATTGTCGTCAAATCCTACCCAGTTTGCTAGGGATCAACCCCCGAAAGCACCACACATCGTATTCCCGAGGCTGTGTCGCTCATTGCCCCATGATAGGCATTAAGCCTTGCACTGCCGCTAGGAGACCATCCCAATGGTTGCTGGTCATGAAAGGAAAAGCTTGTTGATCACTGCTGCAATGCCACACTAATGGGTTGCCCGACTTCTAGAAACAATGTCTCTCCGTGGATGCAGAAGTGTTCTTCATAACCCTTTATGTTGGTATCCCTAATCTTTGATTCGCTCATCCGTGGATCATCGCCCCCATTTTACTGTTTGCCCGGCGACGCATCACTAAGCCATCTTCCAAATTCTTACATCACAGGGTTCTTATATAGGAGTGTAAAGATTACGTATAAAGCAGCACGGCTTCTTCAAAGCTGATCGAATACCTATTAATCTTTTTTTTTCCCCCGCAATATGATATCTAAAGTATATGAATCTTCAGTCGTTTAAGCAAGATGAAATCGTCTCCTTCCGAAAAGCTCACAGAAGACGTCGCGGAAGTTGAACCTCCAGCGTACGATCAGGTTGATGGGCCTCCCCTAGTAATACCGCCGTTGAACTTGTTCCAAACGGCTGGTCCGCCTGTTTGTTCGACAGTCACCCAAGACCAATGTATTGCTCATCTCAAGTTCTTAGCAGCACTCGCCGATCTACGCGATAACATAACTAACATCAACGGTCTATTCAATATCAATGATCCTGACCCAGATGTTTTTGGAGCTACTACACATGAGGCATTTGCTCGTGTCAAAGAAAAGCGATGGGCTGTGTACACAGCCAGGGCCGTCGACCGCTACACGACTTGGTGGCAGAAGTGTATTCAATCCCCTAGACGGTTTCTCAAGCGCCGTGACCTGGTAGACGACAGTTATGACTTAATTACCGAGCATGCGAAATCGTACAACTGGTCTCCAAAGGCAATGCCCCCTCTAGGTGAGTGAAGCCTTGGAGCGGCCTTGATAGACCATCGCAAGTTGCTGACAGGCTTCTTCATCAGATATTCTAATGGTGTGGCATGCACATATGCTGAACCCTAGGGTCTTTCTTGAAGATTGCATTCGGGGAGGTGCCATGGACTTGTGGACAGCCGGTTTCCCGTGGGAAATTATCAACTCCTGTATCGACGATCAAACCATGGAATACAACGCTGGAGAGGCAGCGTTAGCCCAATTTCAGCAGAAAACCGGTCTGCCCTGGGACAATCTAAAGTGTTCATCGAAGAAGCCCCTCACTTGTCCTGGCTGTAAGCACGAGCTGTCCGTGCCCTGGACCGAAGCTCGGATATCTTACCCATTCGATGAAGCATTTAACAGCTGCCGTGGCCTCGCAGATAAAAATTTCCAAACGACATGTTCAGTCTGTAACTTCCAAGTCACACACGAGACCCTAAAGATCGAGAAGTTTCGGAAAGATGTTAGGGCTTTTTGGGCTTCGGACGTGCCGATGCCGGGAACGTTCTACGATGTCAGGGGTGTGCCAAAAGCTGTCTCTGTCTCGACTCGAAAGACGAGGCAGTCCATATTCCCTAATCGCTTAATCAAGGCGATAGGCACCGGTCTCCTTTCGCAGACTGACCCAACGGACGATAACTGCAGGACAATGACGGCGTTACGCAATACGCTACAGTCTAGCATCATGAGCCGGGACACCATGCGAAAGGCCAACCCAGATTCAGTCATTCTCTCATTATGGCCAGAAGAGAAGGTGGCATTCCGTCGGATGATGGCTCGCTATTGGGATAATCACAGCCCCTTCGCTATTGACCTGGTTGGTGCTGTCATTCGACAAGGGACTTTTGTTCAAAAGATGGACAATATCGATTGGCTTCACTCGCCTACCGTGAAAGCAACCATGGACCGTTTGATAAAAAATATGAAGTTTTCTTCGAAATCATGGCTCGGAACCCACGCAACATGGCTGTCCCAACTCTGGATGTCGATCTCGCCTGGCATACCCATCAACTGTCGCCTTCAAGGTACTTTGACTATTCCATCTTTACAACACGGCAACACACCAGGATTGCGAAATTTATTGATCACGACGATAAAGTCGCAGAAACTAAACTTTCGGATGGATTCGAATGGACTAGCAAAATGTACAAGAAGCTCACCAAAGGTGATATCTACAGCGAGTGCACTTGCTGGTACTGTGAAGCTATTCGAGCTCCGGATCTCAGCGACGGCATCTTTGTCTCCCCGTCAACCTCCCGAGCGCGTGAAGCGGCCGCCAATCTCCACAATCGGCCAGATATATCTTCGAATCCGGACAAGAACCCCCATATCTCCGCGCACAGTGCCGTCCCAGCGGAAACAAAGAAGACACGGTCCGGCTTGAATCCTCGACATGTGAAGCACTTGAAGCTTCAAAGCAACTACGAAAAGGCACGTCGTCGTGCAGAGAAGCGAGATCGCAAACAAGGCAACAAGGAACAGGACCGTGCTTCCGACGCCAGTCTTTATGCCCTTCCCATGGCATACGGTTATCCGATATATGTGCCCTACTACGCCCGTACGTGGCTGACCCTGCGTGCACTCCAATGCATATGCTTCAAATCCAGGCTGTATGAGCTTCGTCTCCGGGGCCCATGGCAACTGTGCTGCAGGAACCTGCGGAGGCAGTGTTGCGGCAGGCGGGTGTGGTGGGATGGGAGGGGGGTGCGCCGGCGGATGTGCTGGCGGGGCAGGCGGAGCAGCAGGCGGGTGTGGATCAGGAGGTGGTAGTGCAGGGTGCGGCGGGGGTAGCAGTGGGGGAGGCGGAGGTGGAGGCTGTGGTGGCGGGGGAGGAGGAGGAGGAGGCTGTGGCGGAGGGGGTTGCTGAAGAGATTCTAAGCCAGTATACTTGCTTTCAGATTATGGTTGTGTACTTCGAGCGTGTTTGGAATTCGTTGCTTGTGAACTTTATACTCGATACCATGAATTAATACGATTTTGAATAATGACTACTGGAAAAAAGAGGCTTTTATTTTCGTGGCTACCGAAACTTGAACTTGAGAATAACATGCGAATCAGACAATCAAAATGCTCTATCTAGAGTAATACCATCTCAGATCAATGAAAAGAAACGCAGAATTAGTGAACCGGCATAGTCACATCACCAACAAGTCTGCAAAACTTCGCTCACCTCTATACTTGAGTACACCAGCCGTACCTGGGTTTCAACCTCGTCTGGGGTTATGTCCAGAAGATGAGCCAAGACAGTGTGATGATTATATACCCAACTCCTTGGACTGGCAGTCGCATGCCAGCTTCACCCCGATTATATGACATATTCTTTCCAAGCCTCTATATCAAGATAAGAAACACGTAGCCGAGCTCCGGGGTATTATAGCTACTATAGTATGTATTCGAATCTAATATGAGTATCTGGGAAATTGAAAGCTGAAGTCCAACGGATCAATCCCTTCAGCAACAATACGGCCGAGTAGCTGGATATCACCTAGGGCTCTCTCTCTCTACTTTACGTGTTCAGGTTAGTGTTGTACTCTCTTAATATTCATACTAATAGCAGTCCTTGATATGTATCTAGAGGTTTAGAATGTATTTTTGAAAATTCTTCCAGTGAATATCGGTAGAGGATAGCGCTTGTCCAAAGATATACATATCCCAATTGCTCATCTATCACCAGTGTGCACTTCCAGTAATCACCGTAGTATTTTCAGTTGGAAATGTATCTAGAGTGAACACCAAATTCATCTTTGGTTTCGTAGAGATTGAAGTTCTGCCTAGTATGCATGGTAAAAAAATTCTCCGATACTCATCAATGCATCGATGGACCACGATCAAATCCCCGATAAGGTAGTAAAAGGCACGGGCCGCCAAACCCAATCAGGGCGCCGCTAAACCTGACCTACAAGACGCAGGTATCAATCTGCATCACTCAGGGCAAACTTCAAAATATGACGAAATCCCCTGGAGAAATAGTGAACAACGTCATCTATTCGATGTGCATCTGCAACACTAACCTACTACGCATCCATGGCCAATAACAGCCGGCAATGGTTGCCAAGGCCCAAGGTCGATCCATTTGTAGAATGCATCTATTGCTGCATTCGGAAATCAAACTAGGACTGCAACCTTTGGGGGAAAGTATGTCATTCCACGGTTACGATGTCGCAGAGTTGCATCGACAGAAGTTATATACGTAACCAGTAGGTTATACTGGTTGTCTTTGTCTGGGTTGGTCCTCTGGTCCCCTGGATATATAAACCTTCGGGTAGCTGGGTGAAGACTCTTCCCTATCTTGTTTATCTATACCTCTGTTCTCGAATATACTTCTTCAGTCGGTATGTATCTCACTTAGTCATACATGCAGTTCTGATGGTAAATTGACAGACCACAATTGCCACCAGAAAACAGAATGGACATTAATAAGCTCAAGAAGGGTCTCAACGACACCACTGAATCCGCAAAGGATCAAATCAATAAACGTATGTACAAACCTGAAGATTCTTTTTGGTGTATAGGGATGATTTAACTAACGAATACACAGTCTACGGTAAGTAACGGATTTAAAACTTACGCTTTGTTCTGCTCTACTCCACTACATAATGCTCATACGCAGTAGAAAAACCAGGCGAGACCGCAAACGATGCTTTGAACAAGGGCAAAGAACAGGCTGCCTCTGCTGCTGACAACGCCAAGGCGGCCTTGGACAAGGCTCTGGGCAAAGGAGAGAACAACAACGCTTGAAAGGGTCGACATTTAATCAGGTAACATGGTTGGGCTTCCATTCTACTATTTGTGCATAGAGACCCGCTACGGTAGGAATGGTTAGATAAACAACATAAGCCATTTGAGGTAACTCATGTTTCCTTGCAAAGGCCACTTTTAAGTGAATATGTTTAGTCTCGTGTGCTGCGCAGCAGCCATATACGCTGATCAGCCGCTGTACGCCTTGATTCAGTTTAACTGGGTATATCTAAATGACGTGGTGCGAAGAGAGACACGGAGAGAGAGAAAATAGAAAGAGGAAGAAAATACCGAGACCAATTGCTGAGGGAAAGCCACTCAATGGCAATGCCAGCTACATCACAATGCATTTATTTCGTTTTCTATTTCTTTCGTAATGGTGCGTTCGTTCCATTCCTCTATACGCCTCCTCCAGAGGTCGTTCGACGGTTGGGAGCTCGTGGAGAGTGTAGGGTCAGTGGATGCCCGGCGATTAAGAGGTGGTATAGCTGGCGACTCCTGCCGAATGTCTTGCGACTGCGGGCGCCGGCCCATCGACCTATGGTACCCGGTACGTAGCCATGAATCGCGTGGGATGTCCAGAGAGGCGTACTGGGGGTCTGGGAATTGTAGGTTGGGTGACGAGAGGGAATAGGGATGATTAAGATTAGGCAGCATATCTGGAATTTCAGGTACAGCGTCTTGCCATTCTAGAAGTTCTCCTGGGCTCACCACGGACTCAGTTTGGGTCTCCTGGAGCGATGCTTGCTGCACAGGAGCTGGCAATATCGTCGCCGTTGTAGCTGCAGTATAATGGAGATTCGTTGAGTCAAGGTTCCCTACAGTGTTTTGGTCAACCTCTTGAGAAGTGGCTATGGCCTGCGGTTGTATATGCAGGGGCGCCGACGGCACGCTGGGCACCTCCCCATTCTGAGAGTACGGGTGGTCCGAGGCTCCTCTTTGGACCAAGTTGCTTTGTGTTCGGCTAAGGCCGGGGGCCTCTGAAGCTCTGGTTGTTCTTCGCACTAGAGAGGCTAATCTAGATCCACTGATGGTATTCAGTCTTTGTAGAGGAGTCCGAGGCAAAGGCTCCTCGGCCATATCCTCTAGGCGAGTAGTACGAGACCTTTGAAGTCCATCTGGTACATCGCTGACTCTTTGTGCAGGCTCGGTTCTGAGGGAAGAAGGGTTCTTCTAAGATACTCCGGAAGCGGTGCATCGGGTTCACGAGTATAGGGAGGTGGAGGGGGGACCCAGTTATCGGCGTCACTTTCATGAGGAACCTGAAAGATCGGAGGAACCGGTCTCGCCTCAAGAACACGCCGTGACTCGTCACGATATCGTGGGTTGTACCGTGTGCGACTAGTAGCCGCTGCGGTAGCAGCACGACGCAGTGTATCTCGGGAACGCGGCTGGGTGTTGTCGTAGGGAGTGTCTGGAACCGGAGGTGTATCACCATCACCTATATCATTCGAGGAAACAGAGAAGTAAGAACTATTTCGACGAATGATTAACGGTGGTGATTGGCTCATGGAAATAGCTGCTGGGTACGATTCACGAGCAACAGTTCTGGCCCGGTAGGAAGAATTGCCACGATGCAAACGCGTTCTTCTTCTTTCCAGCTCAACCTCTGTGTCCAAGCTGGTATTGGGTTCGTGGAGCATCTTCGGCTCCGTCTCGCCAATTTCGATGCTTATTTCAGTGGAACTCCCATCTTTCGGTGATCGCTCGAAATCTAAAAGTAGCACTCGTCCGCCATCAACCGGAACATCTTCTTCACCAATTGTCGGAGGGCTAATGCCGCCGGGTGCCACAGCCACCAGTCTACGATGGTCAGCCGGAGCCTCGGCATGTCGTACCCAGCAAGCAGCAGTTATCCCAGACATATCGCTCATCTTATGACCCCTGATAAGCATTTTCGGCTTGGCGATAGAGTGTTGCAGTCGTTGTGCATTATCTGGTAGGGACACCGCCTCCTCCGCTCGGTGACTTGGGCCATTGTCCGAAGCACAAAGTGCGGCTGCCAAGGTACTTGACGGTGCAATATCAAGGCGGTCCGGTATGCCATATACCCAGAGACCGGAATCTTGGAAACCTAGGGCGGCAAGTTCTCCAGTACAATCAACTGTCGGCAGCATGATTGGTGGAGACTCCTGCAGTCCATTTCCAGATGTCGGACTCACGAAATATACTGTACCAGAATTCACATTGTTGGTCCCAATCGCCCTGAATGCGGCGGCCTCTTTATCAAAACCCAAGATCCAACTGCCGTCACCTTCGGTATGTAGTGGAAGAAGGCAAGCGTGACTATAGCTTTGTATAATCTCAGGAAATAAAATCTGAGTGGTCCACATGCGTGTATGGGCTTCCCTGGCCGAGATATCGGTAACAGGCTCTGTGTAGAACGGCACTGTGATAGTGACTAGACTGGTATTCTGGCTATCGCCAGACGAACCGAGCAGCATGACCCCATCTGATGAAAACGCAATGGAATCCACGCCAGCACAGCGTACGGCTCTTCGCTCGGTCGCAAGTGTTCCTTCTCCAATTGCGTATACTTCGATCCTATCGGTATACGCGATGGCAAGAACGCCGCCTGTTGGAGACAGTGCTAGAGCCTGTGGGACATCATTCAACTTGATATTTTGAACGTGCCTTGCTTCTTCGTTAGATAAACTGTATATGTTGACTTGATGGCTAGACGACACCACAGCAAGAAGCGAACCATCATCCAGGATGGTAGCGTTCAGCGGACGTCTCCAGGTTTTGAGTTCATGTCTCACTACAGCTGAGCCAGATGCCACATCGAGAACAACGATCCTCGAAGAGCTTATGCAGAGTACTAATTGAGCACTGGGTGAGAAAGCAAAACGAAAAGCCTCTCCATGTGGGAAAGCTGTCGAAGAACTCATTGATGTTGAAATAAGCTTCACCAAGGTTTGGTGGGGTCTAAGGAAGACCTCGAAGGCATTGCGTCTTATCTCTGCCCCAAACTTCAGCTTCAGGATAGCAAGGTCATCCGAAGTGACTTCATCCGAAGTGGCTTTTGCCGTCAAAGAGAAGGATGGGCAACGAGATAGATGGTGAGAGTATAATAGAGGCGAATCTGAGATCCGCCTCCATTTTCGGTTCAAAAAGGCTAGAGACGCAAAAGTGTTTGCGTCGACAACATAAAGGATGCTGCATAGCCGGTTAAAACAGTTCTTATCTTGAAGGACAAGTTGTACCAGAGACGTCTTTGCTGACGGGCGCAAGAGTCACCGCAGTAGCTGTTGGGGCCAAGAAGAACGTTATAACTTACTGCTCAATTACTGTGCGAGGTAAACTGTTGAAGAGAGATGAGATCAGCTCACCTGACCGCGATTGGCTCTTCCCAAGCGAGCCGTTCTGTTGTTGGCTGGAGCCTGCACTCGGAAGCTGCTCAGGGTCGTGATGAGGACCATCGAGCCGCTCAGCACTGGGCAGCCGAACATCCTCCTCCATGGTCATCGAGTCATAAAAGTCTACATTTGCTGGAAAGAATATACTATAGGATTCAATTGCACATCGCCACGGGGTTTTCTAGGCAGTAAAGGGGCGAAGTTTGGAGAATCAACCGAAGCGCTTGTGGAAGGACGGAGGCGCCAGCTTTAGCGTCCCGGTGGCTGTGTCTCCCAACGCCAATGCAACGATGATCTGGAGCCAGCGCGTACATGAGATGAGACGCAGGCGTAGCTCAAATGTTTCGGATTAATGATGTGCAGAAATGTGGATCTCCCTCAGTAAGATCCCCGATGCTCCAGACAACGACGAGAAACGAGCAACCGAGCACGATCGCGGGGAAGAATCCATACGATATACTGCATTCCCAAGGCATGGGATATAAATAGAGAGCCACGTCCAAGGCACGTGGTTGGTCCTGAAGGCTGACTCAGCTTCCCCACACTTTCCGATAAGAAAATGGGAACTTGGTCTGGGAGAAAAGCTAAGGAGACCTCCGCGATTTGTCACCTTGGATATGTCTTGATTTACCCCCCTCGGATTGAGTCACAGAACAGTAGCGTGGACTATGAGGGCCTCTGTGCGACTTCGCGACTAACATCATCTGGTTCAATGTCGCTTGCATTGACCGTGCGCTAGTCGGTTTTCATGACCCAAACTCGTCAAGTGTGCCAGCCCTTACAGTATTTGCCTCGCCGCCTGCACCTCAAGCGCCAATTCCTTGACAACCTCGGATAGTTTGTTTGCGCGTACGCGACTCTCTCTCAATTGGGTCCTCAAAGACTAACAATAGCCGTTCTTGGATTAATAAGCAGCCCATTTAAGAGTCGTTATGCCACCTGCGACTGCTCAGAGTAGCTCTGCTACTCAAAAGCTTGTGACTCCGGGATTTAACGCCGGCGCAAGGCCATACAGATCTCACAAAGTCAGGGCTTGTGACTTGTGTCGGAAGCGCAAGTCCCGATGCACGGTGGATATCCCAGGCCAGTCATGTCTCCTATGCCGAGTCCAGGGAGCAGATTGTCATTACCAAGAAGAATCCAATCACGATACATCCATTGCTAATGGCCCCGACCCCAAAAGATGGTCCGTTGATAATACCAGTGAAAGCATGCCCTCTGGCCAGAAGCGCAAGCGTACCCCCCACAGCGATTCGCCTCCCAGTCGTCCACGAGAAAGTACTTCCACCCTACCCCGCGCGAGTTCCGTAGTGGACAGTCGCAGCAGCGAAACGCGACGGCAAGGAGTTGAAGATCCTCACAATGAATCTGTTCATATCGTTGGTCCCGTTGTGGCAGATGATGCGCAGGTAATCGAGAAGTTTATGCCGCCAGAGCATTCCAACACGAACGAGGACCCTAACAGCCATCCGTACAATGTTTACTCGAACGATCCGAGAAAACCCATCCTGTATACAACTATCTCTAGGCGGAGACAAGGCATGCGAGTTGGCATCCCACCTGGAGAGAACCAGAAAGAAGTTCTGGAACAAATACTCGGGCCTTTCAGGCATGATCTAGTTAGGCTGTACGCTTTCGATCGTCTCTTAACACAACTAAGTACTGATTCCTATCTGCAGCTTTATAGACAGGTTCAACGTAGCATTCCCAATCTTTGATGGCGACAGCTTCTGGGAGGCATACATCTCGGAGGTCCCAGGGGAACCACCTGCGTCTCTTATATGTCAGGTCTATTCCATGTCGCTTGTCTACTGGAAACACGTGCCGAAGCTTGCCAGCCACCCCAAACCGGATGTCCGATATGCAGTCAATATGACCGTGGCCGCCCTCCACGAGGAATTCTCTGCCCCGGGCTTGTCGACTATAAGTTGTGCTCTGATTGATCTAACCGGGCGGCCAATATTCTCCATGACCGGCAATGCTATCAGTTGCGGTCGAATGATATCTCTCGCTCACTGCCTTGGCCTGAATCGAGATCCCAGCCATTGGAAGGTCTCTCAGAGGGAGAAAGATCATCGTATACGATTATGGTGGGGTGTCGTGATACACGATCGCTGGTGAGTCCCTTTATGTACGGTCTCTTATTGTTGCTGACTCAGTCGAAAGGGGGAGCTTTGGTCACGGTGTACCTCCCCAGATTGCCAAGAATCAATACGATGTCCCACTCCCTACAATCGACGGTTTACTGTCGCCGAATGGTCGCACCAATGAGCGCGTGAGGGCCGCTCACTGCCACATTGCGCTGTGTCGCTTGACGGAGATTCTTGGCGAGCTCATGCCACTCGTATACGGCTTGCAACACCGAGTTTCACGCGAGACCTCCAAGAGATTACGACAGATCAGAACTGATCTCGACATGTGGGAGGATTCTCTTCCTGACTGGTTGAGGTCACCAGCAAGTACGAGCACGGAGGAACGTATCTCTGGGACATGTAGCTTGCAGCTGGCCTTCCTGGCCGTCAAGATGCTTGTAAGCAGAGTGGAACTGAACGTAAGTCTCTAACACTGCGCAGCTTCAAATGCATTCCTAACAGGTCAACCATAGGAGGTCAATAGTGCAGATACCGATAACCCAGAGGCACGGCGCTACTTCCAGACGGAATGCCGACGCTCTGCTGAAGAAATCGTTCAATTTATCTCGTCACTCCGGAAAGAGAACTTCCAGGAGTTCTGGTTGCCATGTATGAGATAGCCCCTTAGAACCCATGAGATCCTCTGGTACCAATATCTAACCCTGCCACAGACAGTGCCTTCCACCTCACATCCACCGCCACTCTTCTTGTCCGCTGCGCGCTGGAAACAACAGACACGGACGTAGCTCGCTCCTGTATCAACAATGTGGAGATGTTCCGGAGTATATTACGTCGTGTCAGAGAAGAGGAGGACTGGGATGTAGCGGACATGTGCCTGGACCACTGCGATCGGATCCTCAACAGACTCCCTGGCAACGGAAGCACTCCTGACCTCAACTTCAGTGGTGTTGTGCAGCCTGATAATCGCTTGGTGAACCCGGCTGCAATTTCGCTTCCTGAGACGCAGACGAATAATGATATTGTTGATGATATGATGTCCATCTCCGGGACTTTTGGTACGATGGATGGTTTCCCGTTTGATATGACGGGTATCTGGGATGTTTCTGTTTTCCAGGACGTGAATTTACCATGATGTAACATGTTAGAGATGAACCGGGAGGGATTCTCTTTCAATTATACCCAATGTGAACTTTATATGTATGTTAGTTTTCAACGTAAATATGGTGTCTAGTGCAAGTACTTCTATATCTCGAAAACAGAAAACTTGAATTTAAAGACATTAAACTTGTAATCTCATTTATACAGAAGACATATAATAAACCAAATGCTATTTTACATACAACCCATGATGATGCTCAGGAGCCAAAAAAGGAGAACCTCTAATCATAACCCCACCCCCAGAAAAAAGCACCTCAGGTACACATTAAAAGATCCAATCGAGAGAAGAGGGTTGCTTCCAGTTGACCGCCAGGCGCCATAATCCTCAGGAAAACAATTACTGCTTGCCAGCACCGAACATGCTAGTGAAAGAGCCCTTCATCTGGTTCATCTGCTCCTGCCGAGCCTTCTCCTCTTCAGCGGCCATCTCAGCGAGCCACTTCTCACCGTTCTCACGGATCTCCTTCTCCATCATCTCGTAGTTTTTCTGGCCTCGCTCACGGATCTGATCCCAGAGCATCTTACCCTGGGCGAGACCCTCAGATGGGGTCGCTTCGCCGTCCAAGGTTCGGGTGGATTTCAAGCCAAAAGCAGAGGCCAAGCTACCCATGCTGACCTTAGGCCGCTTCTGCTGCTCCTCGCCCAGCTCCTTCTGGAACCGCTCACGCATGGCCTTCTCGCGCTTGGCGAACTCAACAGGGATATCGGTGCCCTCAAACGACTTTAGGACAGGGCGCACGTCTTCCACTCCCATACCGGCAATGTATTCAAGCAAAGGAATCAAAGCGACCAAAGTCTTGTCCTTGGAGTCGCCGTGCCACTTGTTAAGGATGATAGCGTTTTCGGGTTGCAGGCGGGCGTGTTCCTCCTTGGTGTCGATCAAGATAACCTTGGACATGTCACGGTTGAGGTAGGAAAGATCCTATATAGGTGCGGTCAGTGAGTGTACGATGTATTTTCATCTGTGTTTGACAAGACATACCTTGATATACTCTCCATCCTTGTATCTAGTGGCTTCCCTGAACAGTGGCCAGCGGATGATGCGGAAAGGATCGAGCTTGCGAAGTACCTGGTCTGCCATCATGCTTGGAACGCTGGTGAAAAGCACAAGTTCATAGTATTGGTTGAGGTAGCGAAGGAAATAATCAACTCCAGGTCGCTTGGCAACCCGCCATCCGTGTTCACGACTCCATTCACTGTGCACAAGCAAATCTTCCAAGCTCAGCACCAAGGTGTAAGGCTGGCGGAGATTGGGGTCTTCATCAGGGAGTAGCTTCGGGAAGGCGGGGTCTTTGTAGTAGCTGGTAATATCGCCAAAGCGAGCTTTGACGCGGCTGTACCAAAGTCCAAAACTCCATCCCGAGGGGACATCCGGATGAAGTCTCTCCTCCTCTTCAGTCTCCCAGTTCCGTCCCAAATAGGCAACACCACCTGCGCCAGCAAGCAGGAAAAGGGCATACATGAGGTTGGCCATCCGGGCCCTTCGGCGATCAAGAGACGAAACATAACCATCCTTGGGGATATCGCCGCCGTGACCATCATCCGTGTAGTCTTCGGAGCGGGAAGGGTCTTCGGTGAGATTCAGTGCAGTCGGTCCACGACCTTTCGAGCGAGCTTCTAGTTCCGCGGCAAGGGTAGAGGGAATGCCCTGTGTGAGATCGGGAAGTGGTTTTTGAGGCGCAGCTTGTTCGGCCGCCGTCTGGCTAAATTCAGCCTTGTCGAATCAGTCAGCTATGGAAATCGAAATCCATAGTCAGGACGATTACTCACAGATTCGGCAGTCTGGTTTGCTGTGTTTCTTTGTGCATCCGCATTGGTGTCGAATTCAGCTTGAGAGGCCGAATACTCTTGTTGTGAAGGCTGCGTAGCCTGGTCGGCTTTGGGAGGCTTGACAGACTCGGGCAGCTTATAAGGAGCCTTGGGTTTATTGTTCTTTGCGTACCACCGAGAGTGGGTAATCGGTAAGGCGGATAAACGAACCGTAGAGGCGAGGGTGTTAGACCTCGTCAGAGGCAATACTGCACGGCTAAGCATAGTGGAAAAGAAGAAAGTGTGATGTAATTAAGGATAGGCAAAGTCTAACAATGTACTCATGCTCTGCACAAGGTAGGCGGCTTGAGCGGGAGTTATAACAGGACCTAACACCAGACCGATCCAACAAATGCACGAGAGTACGTTGACTGTCTGAGAGTCCGTCTGTCGAAGTCCAGAAGATAGCCGGTCGAGGGTCAGAGCTTCGGAAAAGTTGCGCTGTCGGAGGTACGGCGAGCGGCAAGCCCCCACCGCGCACCGCGGCCTATAAAATCTTCCACCTTCGGCCGGTTTCTCCCTTTTCTTTTTCTTTTCTTCTCCAAGTTATGAAAGTTGAAACCCAGTCGGTAAATTTGACCCAACAAGCCTCTCGATGCATGACGGGTTGTATTAGCTGGGGAGACAAATGAAGTTTTGCTTCAATCCTGCACCCAAGAGCCGCAGCGAAGGATATCTGTGCAGCTGCAGCCCCGTTGGTGGGATACAAATTGTTCTCTCTATATAAATGGTGGTTTGATGTCCGCTACCCACCTTACAAAAAAAAAGTGTACTGTGTTAATTCGCAAGTTCAGTTAACTGATAACTGCAAGAATGGCATGAGAAAGCACCTTATGAAATAAAGACTTCCTTCCAATAGAATATTTCTCTCCGTATTTTTTATTTTTCTTTCCTTTTAGATTCGATCTTCAGCCATCATGGATTCCATATCAGAGGCCCTGGAAAAGGTACGCCTCGAGAATCTGCCACCGAAATCAGAGAAGATTCAGCTACCAGAAGCTGAGGACGAGGAAAACGAAGAATATATAGAAGACACAGCGCCGTTGGATCCGTTTCCCTTCTTCGACCTTCCGTCCGAGTTACGTTTGCGCGTATATCACATCCTTCTCTTTACCCCTCGCCGAAAACGAGCGCATCTGCACACCAAGGGCAGTGTGGGAGCTTCGAAGAAAAATCCACCACTATCTCCGACATCCCACCGTATCAACCTCTTCCTTGTATCCCGGCGTGTGCACGATGAGGCCTCCGACTACTTCTATACCACTCAGACGTTCCGTCTCTTCCCCTTGCAGGATTACTCTCGAATGCCAACAATCAGTATGATACCGCCTAGATACCGGCCCTCCATCGCTACTATCGAATTAATCCTGGGCTCCAGCTGGACAGCACCTCCCAGCTCTTGGAAAGTCAACCGCCGCCTTGGTCTGGAAGAAATGGTTCGTGCTAAGACATTAAAAGTGTTTATTGAGGTCGACCCTTCGCATCCGGTGTTTGAAGGCTTCCGGATTTCTAAGAACTTCTACACTGAATTTTCTGGTGGCATACTTCGCGATGTTCTCGCCAAAATGCCAAGCTTAGAATATGTGGAGTTTGACGGGTGGCCATCCGTCCGCAAGAACGGGGCGTTGATGCAGCGTCTACTTCATGAAGCCAAAGCAGCCGAAAAGAAGATTGCTTGGGCCCCGAGCGCGGATGGACAGACTGTGATGAGGAAGACATGGACATTCCCATGGTTTACGAGCTGAAGTCGATGCAGCGTGGTCGAGTCAATGATGTCCCACCTCAGACTGATTCATTGTTCGGGCCTTAACCATCGCCATGGCCACTCTTTGTTTAGCCTAATGTATCTCCTGATGATACTGAAAGTATAGAGTAGTACATAAACATTCATCAATATAGAGTTTAATAGTTGCTTGCTGTTTATTGGGTCTGACAAGGCAAGGTCAGGTAAGGTTGCTGATCTATATGTAGATTTGTGTTGGTCAGGCAGTGCGATGAATCTAGCACAACGACTGGAATGTAGTTTTGCAGTGATCGAATAATATATGTTGAAACGTCATTCATTTATAATTGTTTCCGTGCATGATGGCTGCCCTTGCGAGATAGGACTACTGTCCTGTACCTCGCCAGAGGAACAGAAATTATGATACTCCTCATAACTACTAATCATCTATAGGTCTTCGTCCACCTCCATGCTGGCACCGTTCTGAGCTCCTTTTCCATTTGATTGCCTGGCAACTGAGGCTTCCTTATCGATCATCTGCCGCGAGACTGCGACAATATTATCTTCAATCAACTGTTGACTTACATCCTCGATGTCTATAGCAATAGTTAATACTGGTCAGGAGAACACAGCCGGAGTTCCGAATATGACTTACGCTTCTTGGGATCGACCTTTCCGACATATCTCGTCTTGAGCTGCTCCTTGCTGAGTTCCGTTTCTTCTTTAACTCGTTTTTCATAGCCCTCGGCGAGGCTGACGAGCTGCTTCATGCGGTCGACGTTGTGCTCGCCTTCGTCATGGAAATCCTTCATCTGTAGGGCCTCGGTCCAAACGTGCTTATGCAGGTTCATCAACATGTTCTCCTCCAACCCTGTCTTACGGTAGTTGATAGCAATGCTGTAGTAGTGCCTGTTCAGGCCATGGATGAGTGCTTGGATCGATGGCTTATTCAGGTGACCCAAATTGGATGTTGTTTGCCGAGGCTCCTGACCCATAACCACAGTCTGGGGTTGAATAAGTCGGAAAGCATCAATAACCACTTTGCCCTTGACGGATTGAATAGGGTCAACGACAACGGCGACAGCGCGCGGGGTGAGCTGCTCGAAGGATTGCTGGGTGTTGATATCGACAGATGAGAGCCAGCAGCCAAAACCAGGGTGAGAGTGATACCAGCCAACAACGGTCTCTGGCCTGCATAATTCAAAGAATCAATATCGCTTCAGGTAAGGTTAAGTACCTAATCAAGGCTTACCGTCCTGTTTGGCGGAGCATATCCATCATCTTGGTCTGAAAGACAGGGTCCACAGCTTCGACACTAACACCAGTACCACTCTGAGGCATCGCAAACACATCTACTACTCGAACTGTATATTCATCCACGAACTCTCCCAACATCAGGCCCATGACTTCCATAGGCACACCTGCCCGACCATGTCGCAACATCTTCAGCAGAGCCAGCGATGAGATATGTACTGTTTCGGAGTTATCGATCAGGTTAGGGGTATCCTAAAGAAAAGCATATCAGTATGGTAGCTTCACAGGTGTGTAATTCGGATAGAGAGTCCTAATCGAGTACAGCGCCACGTAAGGTACCCGGATAGAACCGCCTTAGGAGAACAATGATTAAACAATGTTGTGGCCCGACTTACACCACCGGGGGCAGCACCGCCCATGCCCATACTTTGGGCGGCCTGAAGCATCCGACCAAGTCGCTCCATGGCTGCTGACGGAATATGACTAGCGGAGATGCAAAGGTGAAGGATAGCTTCCTAGGCGGAAGCCCCAAAAGAAAGAAGAGTTGAGGGGGGTGTCAAAGGATGGCAACGTAGGAGGGAGCTCGCAAAGAGCGCGATAATGAAGTAATGACTGAAAAGTGGATGAGGGGGATTGAAATGGGATGCAGGTGATAAGAGATGATGGTTGGAGGTGAAGCCGCAGTTGAGCTCCAAGAAGCCTGACTGACGAAGGCGGTGGACACAGCTTTGGACCGTTAATTGGCGTTCCCGCCTTTCTTTCCCCTTCGCTTCGACCTTCGTTCCTCATTCTCCCCGGCCATGGGAATGCGGTCCAGTCACTTATCATAATTTCTTGATTCTGCTATTCTCTCTCCTCTCTTTATTTGATAGGGCGCTCTAAAACCAGGACCTGATCACCAAGCATCTGGACCCCTCCCCCTTGGCTCCAGCCCATCGTGCTCTACATCTTCCTTCACATTACCAGCAGAACCGAGAATTCGCCGTGTCCCAAGGCATATATCCCTAATTCCCATTTGAGCGAAGGCTATCGGTGTTCTATTATACATTGTCATCTAAGATGACTTCCTTAGCCCCCTTGGACCCGATCAATGCCAACGGGTCAGACCGTGGCAAGAAGGTCGCATATTTCTACGACTCCGACGTTGGTAACTATGCCTACGTCTCGGGACACCCAATGAAGCCCCATCGCATAAGGATGACACATAGCTTGGTTATGAACTATGGTCTCTATAAGAAAATGGAAATTTATGTGGGTGGCGATCGCTCTCAAGTTGTTGCTGCACGGTGTTGGCATTTCTAACGTGCAAATCTCATAGCGCGCAAAACCAGCGTCTAAATACGAGATGACCCAATTCCACACAGATGAATATATCGACTTTCTTTCCAAAGTAACGCCGGATAACATGGACACTTACGCCAAGGAGCAAAGCAAGTATAACGTCGGTGATGATTGCCCTGTTTTCGACGGTCTTTTTGAATTCTGCGGAATTAGCGCGGGAGGAAGTATGGAGGGCGCGGCCCGACTTAATCGCAATAAATGCGACATTGCTGTCAACTGGGCCGGTGGTCTTCACCATGCAAAGAAGAGTGAAGCAAGTGGTTTCTGCTACGTGAACGGTAATGATGGACCATGTTTTTGGCTGCGCTGTCAAGACTCACTAACGAATTATTTATAGATATTGTGTTAGGCATTCTTGAGTTGTTGCGCTTCAAGCAACGAGTGCTGTACGTCGACATTGATGTACATCATGGTGATGGTGTTGAAGAAGCCTTCTACACTACAGATCGTGTTATGACTGTCTCTTTCCACAAATACGGAGAGTACTTCCCAGGAACCGGCGAGCTCCGCGATATCGGTGTTGGACAGGGTAAATATTACGCTGTGAACTTCCCACTCCGCGATGGTATCGACGACGTTTCTTACAAGAGTATCTTTGAGCCTGTCATCAAGAGCGTGATGGAATGGTACCGACCGGAAGCAGTGGTTCTCCAATGCGGCGGTGACAGTCTTTCGGGTGACCGTTTGGGGTGCTTCAACCTTAGTATGAGAGGGCATGCCAACTGTGTGAACTTCATCAAGAGCTTCAATCTTCCCACATTAATTCTTGGAGGAGGAGGTTACACAATGCGCAACGTCGCGCGAACCTGGGCGTTTGAGACTGGTATCCTTGTTGGGGATCCTTTGGGCTCCGAGCTTCCTTATAATGATTACTACGAGGTGAGATTGTTTCCCTAAATTATGCTCGTGTCGGAAGTTGCTGACTCGAATAGTACTTTGCTCCGGATTATGAGTTGGATGTACGGCCATCGAATATGGACAACGCCAATACAAAAGAGTATCTAGATAAGATCCGTGTGCAAGTTGTCGAGAACCTTAAGCGAACTTCTTTCGCACCTTCCGTACAGATGACGGACGTACCACGTGACCCTCTTGTAGAAGGCATGGATGATGAAGCGGATGCGATCTTGGACGACCTGGATGAGGACGAGAATAAGGACAAGCGTTTCACCAAAAGACGATTCGATCAATATGTCGAGAAACCAGGTGAGCTTAGTGATAGCGACGACGAAGAGGAATCCGCCGCCAACGGAGTCCGCCGCCAACCTGGCGTACTGAAACGGAGGAACCAAGTCAACTATCGCAACCTGGATGTTGAATCGGGACTTGAGAGCGGGATTGCGACCCCCGCCGAAGCTTCTTCGGTACCTGACGATGACATGGATACTACTGCCGATGCGAAGATGGGAGATGCCCCACAGACAGAAACCGACGCACCTGCAACCCCCTCCGTTGCCGAACCACCATCAAGGGCTGATGAGACGTCCGCAGCAGAGCAGACGGAAATGGCGATTGATGGTCAAGAGCAAGCAGCTCCCTCTGCCCCTATTTCTCGCCAGCCATCTCCCAAGACACAGGATGAGGATACCACCATGGAAGATGTGGGTGACGTTGCGCCTGAAACAGAGCAGCAGGAGCAATCAGCAGCGCCAAGTGAGGCCCAGGCTGAAGAGAAGAAGCCCGCCGAAGAAATGCCAGCTACGGACAAACCTGCCACGGAGCCGCCCTCTCCAGCCGATGCACAGGCCCCTCAGAAGGAGTCCGTAGAGGATTCAAGGCCAGCTGAGGCGAGTGAGGTAGTGGAAACAGTGGAGACCACTGAGACCAAAGAAACAAGCCCAAAAGCTTCTAATGATGTGCCTGAGCCAGCCAAAACAGAGCAGGAATCACCCAAGGAAGTAAAGGAATCAACCGGTGAACCTCAAGAGCAGGAGCCCACCAAGAGCGAAGCATAGTCTCCGCTTTTTAGAGGCGTTTATCAGGTTCCGGGCGCAAGGGCTGGCAATATGGTGTTATGGTTTCTGGATCCATGAAGGAGGGTATTCTGCTATGTCTCATGTCTTTCTATTTTCTTACTGTAGTTTGAGCAATACTTCTTTTACCTAACTCATGTATCATGCGCAAATGCATATATTGGCCAAGAATTCAATAAACTCATACATATTTCCAAGAACTCCTCAAGTTACAGAAACACTTTGCACTACTGATAGAGCAGCATTATCTGGAGCATCCTAATAGTTAAGTAGGTACTCCGTTGGTTACCACTAAGCTTACCTAATCTGTATTCAAACACTCTAATCCTAAAGAGGGATAGTGTATCGGCTGAGCCCTAACTCACCATAGGCCCTCGACGGGCCAATAGCACCGAGACGCCAAGATTTTACCCACGACACACTAAGCGAGAAAGCAATTCGGAAACCCGAGCAATCTCTCGACGACGCCTGATACTGTCGACCTTCGTCGCTTCCTTCGCCAATTTTCTAGTATCCGACACCGTTTACGTGATACACAGCCAAGATGTCTGGAAGAGGGTGAGTTTTTGATCGCCCTTTTTTTCTGCGTTGTTCGACTACGAGCGAGGGACTCTACAATGGTGGTCTGAGTTTATCGAACCGGGTTTGTGGGCAAGGTATACGGGGGCAAAGTGAATCAATCACTGGGAAGAAAGAGAAGGACAACGGCGGAGGATGGATCGCACAGGAGACAGGAATAGAAGAATGATGATCAGAAGAACAAACCGGGGAGATACTCAGACGCCTGTTGCGGGGATAGTTGGAAGAACCAACCAACTTCTTTTACTCTTCATTTTCCACGGTCAGAACATGAGTATGGGATTACGCTAACGAATCTCTTTTCTACAGTCGTGGTTCCTCGGGCAACAAGCTCAAGATGTCGCTCGGTCTGCCTTGGTACGTCGAAAGCCGATCCTATCTCGAATCATGAACCCCCAGTGTTGTGACGAAAACCCCATACATAATACCTACGTCCAGCAATATCAACTCCCGACGGTCAGGAAACTAACTGGTCTACTCTTACAGCGGCGCCGTTATGAACTGCTGCGACAACTCCGGTGCCCGTAACCTGTACATCATCTCCGTCAAGGGTACCGGTGCCCGCCTCAACCGTCTCCCTGCCGCTGGTGTCGGTGACATGGTCATGGCCACCGTCAAGAAGGGAAAGCCCGAGCTCCGTAAGAAGGTCATGCCCGCCGTTGTCGTCCGTCAGAGCAAGCCCTGGAGACGTCCCGATGGTATCTACCTCTACTTCGAGGACAACGCTGGTGTCGTACGTATTTCCCGTTAAAAATTTCGACATGGAACATTTGGAAAGGAAAAGGCGACGTTGCTAATAATCCCTCTACAGATCGTCAACGCCAAGGGTGAGATGAAGGGATCCGCCATCACCGGCCCCGTCGGAAAGGAGGCTGCTGAGCTCTGGCCTGTAAGCATCCCGTGTCCTTTGTGCCCTCGCAAATAATCGTGCTAACGGAATCGCCCAACAGCGTATCGCTTCCAACTCTGGTGTTGTCATGTAAACAAGGAGAACCGTCTTGGAAAATATTAAAGGAAATAGTTCGATACCAAGCAGGGGAATCAAATCAAATTCGTTTTGGGTGCAACTATGAACGGGAAACGAAAATCAGGAACGACCGGGTGATAATACTAGAACCGCGAGTTTCATCACTTCAATTTCCTCTATGACGTGTTTCTTTTTGTCTCTTATATGGCGACTCGGAATATAAAAATTCAGAAAATGGGGGCGTCCGTCTTACCTTCTTTCATCATGCGTAACTGCTCCTCCGTATTGCCGTAGCTCATTGTCTTTGGTTATCTACTAGTGGTGAAATACGACCAAGTGCAAGAATCGTTGTTTGCATGTAATCGTAAAGCACTCTTTTTTTTGTGGATTGTTTATGTCATAATATACAAATCCACAGGGCATATCACCCTTTCCCCAAAGTAACTATAAGTACAAAACATCTATGGTTGCTGGCCCCTAAATTTATGGTCGTTTGAGCGGCCAAGACAGCAAGTCCTTTCCAAGGATATCTATAACTAGCCCTTTAATTCCTCTTCTTCTCCTGACCAACCCGGATCATCTTTGTACGGCCAGGTTTCGACCCTGAAGCAGCCAATATATACCCGAAAAGAACAACACAAGTCACCAGATCAACGATATGCACCGCCCACCAGATATGCTGCACACCAGCCATGCACGTGGTGATCTCATACTGCCATTCATTCACTGTAGTATCGAACCAGAGAGAAAGTAGGCCTGCGTTACCACCGTATTCACCCATCATAGAGCGAAGTGTGACCTCTCTAATGGAAGGAATTGAGTTGTCGGTATGGCTATCGTAGCGTTGTGCGTCCCATTTCCAACTTTGGGGTTCCGAGTCTTCGGCGGTTGTTGTATCTATCGTTCGGTTCACAAAATGGACCACGTCGCAACCTGTGTGGTCGTGACCTGTCAGGATGAGTCCATTCCTTCCCCTTCCTCCGCCGGGGGCGCTTTCGTCCCCTGTCATACCGAAAATCCCCTGGAGGACTCCGCTGCTGCTGATGTGGTCGCTCAGATGGTTTTGTTCTTTCAGTCCCCCTTCCTTGAAGCGCGGTACATCGTCGGGGCCATCCTCGTCGTCTGATTCATGGAACGTGAAGTAAGGGCCGTCGGTACATATCCCCTCTTTCTTGTGCAGGGGGAGGTGGGTAAGAAGGAGAGTGAATGTTGTGCGGTCTTCCACAGGGTACAAACGATGGGAGATCAGATCATTAATGTAGGCATAGCCATGCGACTGGACGTCCGAGGACAGGGCCGGGGAGTCGAGAATCAAGGTGTTGAGATTGATCAGATGCAGAGTCGGGGGAGCGCTGAAGGGCGCAGTCATGTTATCGACCTGCTCTAATGGGAGCTGAAATCGCACATCCCAGTTCGCACGGCCAAACATGCGCTCGAACCGCTCAATCCGCGCTTCACTTGCGTCCCCAGAGTATCCTACGTCATGGTTCCCCACGATGTTGATGATCCTCTGCGTCCATGCGGAATGCGTAGCATTGAGTGTCTCTAGTTCGCCACCCTGCTCTTCGCTACCGCTATAATCCCTTGCGCCAGTTGCTGTAATATCATCGCCAATGCGCTCCCCACCCTTGAAGACCCGCTCCCAGTATCTGCGGCCGCGTCGGTCAAACTCTTCGTCTGTCACCCACTGGCTTCCAATCAGGTCACCCAGAACTGTGACGTGCGTTGGACGACTCCACCAATGTAGCGTGCGATAAATATGCGCAAGGTAGTAGTCGTTGCCCAATAGATCGAGCCGTTTCCGGGCTGCACGCAAAGCGCGAGGGATATCTTCGTTGGCGAGGGATTCCAGCGCAGTTGAGACGGCGGTGAGAATTTGACCCGGCTCTGTCCTGTTCACCGACGACTTCACTGTCGCCCAGTGGTGTTGAATCCGAGCAGAAAGCTCATCTTCGGGTTTCGGGAGAGAGCTGTCGCCTTCTAGCTGAGGATCGGCTAGGACCAGAAGTCTAAAAATCGCGGGGTTCTCTGCAGATTGCGGTGAAAAGTGTTGGCGTAGCGCACTGGTAAATGAACTCGAGAGGATCCCTGTGCGACCATCCCCCGGCAGCGGGAATGCACAGCCATGAAAGACAGGGTAAAAATAGAGGAAAAGGCTGCTTGCTATCGCCAGCGGCAGAAGGAGGGATAGTACGCGGGAGAGAAGCCGGCGGAGGGACATGGAGGCAAACCGGGGAATCGCAGCACCATTGGCGGAGTATATCGTATTGTTCTCGTTGGTAGTCTATTCTGTTTCAGAGGGAAGCCATGTCAATTAAATATAATCTCATCTTGCGCTTCTCTAATATGAGGTGTAATAAAAAGAAGAAAAAGGGTTTGGGGTGCGGGTGATCATCTTTTATGGAGCCATTCAAAGCTCCTTCCTTCATCAGCCCTAATTTTAGAAAGTCCCGTCGGTATCAGAGATCTTGGCCCTTGGCATAAATTTACAAGACTGATGACTACTGGAGCTCGTGCGGTTTTAAGGTTTGTTCTCGAAGATCTGGCCAGCCAACGATAGAAGGAAGACCTAGCGCAATATTATTTGATAAAATTAAACGAGAAACGGCAGTAAGCTTGAGATCAAATAATCCAAATGGGGGTATATCACATTAACGCCAAACAGATCAGCGACATTCAAAGCAAGTAAAACAAAGTGTGATCAAGCAGCGGCTATCTCTTCTCAGTGACACGATCAATCTACCTTTGCAACTGCTTCAAGGAGCAAAGGGGGCGGGCCGACATCAAGGTCACCAAGAGGGCTCGAGACCCGTTTCTGTTCGTCATCGTCCCCGTGGGTAGGCACATTCTCATTCCCGAGGCCTTGAATCATCAGGCCGCTCTCCTCCTCTGTGGTGGTTGTCAAGCGTTCCTCTTTCCCCTCTGCTCCCTGGGTTGCAGATGCCGTCGGTAGCAGCGCAGGAGGCCGCTGGTTCATTAGACGGGCTTCTTTAAGACTAACAGTCTTCTGTTTATTGGAAGTCTCTACAGGGAGTTCCATATCCCGTTCGATGGTAGCCTTCATCAACGCTGCCATCCACAAGCGGCCTTCTTGAATACTGTCTACCTGGAAATAATGGATAGCAGGCTTCGTGAACTGCACCGTTCGAGAAGTGCCCGATTTTGGTGGTACGAGCTTGAAGAAAAAAGGGCCTTCTCCGACGGGCTTGGACCCGCGGAGAGAGGATTCCGAGCCTGAGGCTTTATCGGATGAAGGGCCATCGGCAGTAGACCCAGACGGCGAGGTTGGCGAGGCTGTGGAACCAGTCAAGGTCGCATGCAGGGCGATGAGAGGGTCGTTATCCGCGCGAAGCACGCGGTGGGCTGTAATGTCGATAAGACCACGCTCCTCGGTGTCATCTTCTGAGTAATAATACGACAGACGACGACCACGCAACACAAAGAGACGCGGCTTCCACGTCGTCATAAGGTTTGAGGACTTCTTCTTCATCCACCCCGAAAAATCGCACCCTTGCATCTGCTCCTTCGGGGTCTTCTTCTCCAGGCCCTGGGTATAAGCGCTTGTATCCTTCTTCGACTTAGTCCCGGACCTAAGAGTGCGGGCACGTGGCAAGGAAGCACCGCTTTCTGCAGCCTTGCCCGAACCATCCGTGCTATGTCGATCTGAGCTCTTTGTGGTCGAAGGAGTTGTCGATCCTGTTCTAGCAGAGGGGGACTCAGGATCTTTGCTAGGAGAAGGGGGAGCGATGGATGTATCTATCCCTTTAACAGCCTCGGACATGGCACGGAAACCAACAGCACGTCGGAATTTAGGCCCAGCGCTCTTGATCCCCTGTAGAGGCAGAGTGCTCGAGCGTTGAGACTGCTCCTCGTTATTTTTCCCACCCAGCGAAAATGCGGCGAAGAATCCAGAGCCAGAAGGTTTCTCTTCCGCAGATGGCGGGTTAGAGGACTGCTGGCCATGTCGGTCCGAAGCTCGAGTGCTCAAACTCCTGAAACGACCCCTAGGTGGGGAAGCTTTGACTGCGGGAGGTGTAATTTGAGCCGCATCCCTGATAGAATCAGCACTATTGATACGCGAGTGACGTTTGTTGACTTTGAGTTGAAACTGCTCATCCGGGATGCTGGATGGCGTGGAAACACTGCCATGGGTAGAGCTTCGTTTCTGTAGGACGCGCCGATTCTTTCGGGCATCTCCCTCCGGGCCCGAAAAGTAACCGCGATCTAAATCATCGGTAACGGTGGTAACCGAGTCAGAACCATTGGACTCCGCCACGTGAAACACAGATTTTGGAGTGACAATCTCGTTTGTTGCTCCGAGAGCTGACCCGGGACGCCGTTGGGATCCTGAAGCACCATTCAAGGTCCACCCCCGATCAAACGAGCTTTTCTTGTGGTGACTGGCAGGAGAAGAGTCTCCCACCCCGGAGTATCGGTTGGTGGTATCGATTGAAGAATGGCGCCGCGAATGGTTGATCTCACGAATGGACGCGGCCGATGGTCTCCTAGAGTGGTCCATCCATACTGGAGCTTGTGACGTCAGAGGAGAACCTGTGTTACTCTGCATAGTGCTACTGATGAGCCGCGGGTGTTGTGTCGGGCCGTTGGGCCCTCTTAGATTGGGGATTCTGGGAAAGAGAGGGCCAGTATGGCTTGCGCGGCTAGGAGCACGTTCATCCTGAGGGGTCGCAAAAGATGAGCCGCGTGACGATTGCTGCTGCGGTATACCCTTGACCTCTTCCTGGAAGGCTTTGACTTTATGCCATGTCTTCAATCTCCGACCCATAACACCAAAATCGAACTCCTTCATGAAGAGGAAGTCCTGGTTCATATCAAGGAGTACATCGCCAGTAATCTCCTGTTCCTCGAATATGTCACAGTGTTTGGCTTCAAGTCCCAACTGGCGTAAATGTTTTGCCGTCTCAGAATGGTTCCATCGGCGAACTTCTTCCTCCGTCGGCTGTCTTTCCTCTTCTTCGTCGGTTTCATGACCGTTAATGTAAGACATCCGGTGCTCGAAAGTGCTGCTATATTCGCTTGCCGAGTCATTCACCGGCTTGGAATCTTGAGAGGCAGTCACACTGTGGCGAGGTGTACTCAGATCGGTAATGTGTTCATCAATGACACTCAAGGTTTCGTTCATCACCGGACTGTCCTGGCCACTCAAGTGGCCATCAATGGATTGTCGGATGGTCTTCTGGATGTCGATCGCCATTTTAGACGTCGGCAAGGGCGAGGAGCTGGACCTCTGCTGTTGTTTTGGGGAGGGCGTCGGGGCCGTTGAATCATCAACATCTGGCGCGCTCATATCGGACGTACTGGCACGTCGCGAAGCTTGGGGCGTAGAATCGCCACTAATAGGTGAAGCGAATATTTCCTGTCCCATTACATTATGGAGGTCGGTTTTCAATGAATTTGATCCAAGGGTGTCTTTCTGCCGGATGGGGATCTTTGGGGCAGCGGTAGTGTATACTGATGGGTTGTGCTTGAGTTAGCGACATTTCCTTTCAGACAGTAGCTGTTTAGCGAGACCTTACCTCCCGGGAAGAGGCCTTGAGTTCCTGTGTTTAAATCCTTTCCAAGATACCATCCATCACCAAAACCATCGTCCATTTCAACCAGCTCAATTTTTTCGCCACGACGCAGGTTCAGCTCATCCGGTCCACGGGCCTCAAAATCATCTGCCAACACGGTCAGCGATATCAAACAAATCGAGTCTCGCGGAAATTATATTCGACAACGGTCGGGTCACTCACGAACAACCAGGAGCAGGTCTCCCGGGTGGACATTGCGAGGAGGCGTTGCAAGAGCCATTGGCGGTGGTTCCTCGGAGTCAATGAAGTCTAAAGAGCCAGAGTGGGGTCAAACGTCACAAGAACGCAGTGATGGCAGCCGAGGGATTGCGCAGGACATGGGGGCCGCAGCTGGCGGGGAGATCTTGAAAACCACAAGGGCAGCGGATGGCTGGGGCGAAGATCGTCGCAGCAACGAAGGTTGGGGAGTGGATGGAATGTAGAGAATGCGGGTTGTGTTGAGGAATCCAAGCCTGCCTCAAATGGGCGAGAAGGAAGGAGAATTAGCGGGGACAAGAAAGCGGCGGGTCTGGAAGGAAGTTCGTTTTCCCAGTGGCGCTAAGAAAGGGAAGAGGAGGGCTAGAGCGGATGATATATAGATCGCTGGTCTATTCCTCGGGAGCGTCGTAAGAAGCTAGATTCGGAGCGATAAAAAAAGAACGGCCGTTAGTTCTTGTTACACACCAGGATCAGATCGACCGAAAGGAGCAGATGCACGTAAAAGGTCGATCTAGGGCGCTTGAGATGTGCTTTCAAAGGTCGGTCAGGATCACTACTGTAATCGACGTACAGTAGGGGCGCTAACTGAGCGGCAACGCAGCACGGGTCACAAGTGGAAATTAAATGGTCCCCCTTGGGAAATTAAAGCCTTGAGCAAATTGGGCGATGAGTTCTCTTTTCGGCTTCTTGGCTGTTTGCTTTTTGCTTTTTGCTTTTTTTTTTTTCTTTCTTTTTCTGGTCTTCAGTGTCCTCCCTGACCGGCCTGGCGATTTTGTGATTTCTGATGGAGAGAGTGAAGATGGAGAAGGCGAGGGAGAGAAGAGGAAGAGAGAGAAAGAAGAAACAACTTGTAGAGCCAGTCCCAAGAAGGCAATGAACAAATGGTGAGGCTGCGGGAAGTCACGCCGTTACCATATACCTTAAGGCCTGAGGGTCCCGGGTGTGGCCTGAGGTATGCAGCTGGAAGAGTATGTCGGATAGGAGAAATGAGGGTGACGATCAGGATTAGGGCCACAATAAGAACAAAAGGGGAACCGGAACCACAGGGAGAGGGGATTGATCCAGTATCCTAGGTTTAAGAAACAGATACAACTCGGGTGGTGCTGTTCAATTGCTGTAGCATGAGTGAGGCAATGGAGAGGTCCGACTGAGCCCTAATTGGGAGGGAGGTGCGAGATGATGACTGGAGCCAGCAGAGTCTCACTCCAACGACTACTTCATCACCGAACAGCTGTTCACCCATGAGAGGAAGGGTGCCTTACATTGATTTATATATATACATGGGTCAACAGCTGACATTCTCCACGAGGGTCTCCAAATAGAATAGATTTTTAATAAATACCAGTCAGAAAGATGGCGATCAGCTCCATTCTGTATGTATGCATCAGACAAGCGAAAACGGCAATCATTGCTCTAATGTATCAACTCAAAACTGGATTGATAGGATATACTTCTCCCCACCGAACCGAATATGTATAGAACCATTCTCGACTCTATCAGATCTCTCCAATCAGGGCGAAACGAGGATTCTGTGGATGAGGGAGCACTAGTAGTACCTCTAGTACAAACCCCCCCCCCCCCCAGCCACCGTCCAAGGGATACATCTGTACATGGCGTATAAACCTGATAAGTCTCTCCCTTGGATCCATCACTTGGCACTAGGAAAAGGACCCGGTATGGGATCGACATACCTTGTAACTAAGCGACCTTCTCAGAAACTTGACAGGTCCAGAAAGATTAGACTTCCTCGATGGGTTCATTCCATCCCAATACACTCGGGTCATGCATGGGGATCCTCTGGTTCAAGAGGATAATCATGCATAAATGTTGAGCCTAACGAGAGAATCGGTTTGCGTCTTTCTCGTTGTTTTTCTTTTTCTTTTTGATTTTGGTTTTGGTTTCAGTTATCCACCTGCACTGTACTTTTTCTTTCTTGTTTCAGTTAACCGCCTGCATGGATAATCAGCATTACTACGACTCTTACTACATTAGCGTTGTTACTTTTAGTAATACTTATCCAGGGACCAATTGATAGGGAATGAATAGGCGAGAAAAGAACTCAGGGTAAAATAAAATAAAGTAAAGTAAAATAAAATAGAAATAGAAATACAAACCAAATTTGAAGAGGCTATAAAAAGCAGTGCGGAAGGAGTTGCTCTATCACACGGCATTAAACCAGTGATTCCACTTGCTAAATAAACCCGTTAACTAACTAAATATCTCATCATCACCGGCTGATTTCACTCTCAGAGTAAACATTTCTTTTTTTTTTCCCCTTTACTTTGGGGGACAACCTCATAATAATCTGTTCTCGGCGGTATGTACCAGTGTGTGTATGTATGTTACGCGCCATAATTTATTTGTACCTATTTTCTTTTTCTTTTTCCCTTTCCCTTTCGTAACTGTCTTGTCTTATTTGTAGGTCGGTCGGTCTCCCAGGCAAACAGAATTCTTCCCTCACCCCAATTTCAATTTGGACTTGAAATAATTTCAGATGCATTTAAGAGAAGAAAAAGAAAACCAAGCGAAAGAAGAAAATGAACCAGAAGATGCTCTGTCATCATGAGCCCAACTCCCCACTTACCTAACGTTAATTCTAATCCAAATTCCGTCGAATCGTCCAATTCCACCGCCAACATTTTTCTGGGTGGTGTGCGGAGATCGTGGATGCTGAATGCAGCCAACTGTCCCTCTTCATTCTCCTGCCACTCCAAAATACCCGACGATTCGGCTGCCGCTACTTCTTCGAATAACGCTGTTGCCGTTTCTGCTGCTGCTGATGCTGCTGCTGCCGCTGGCCGGACGCGTCAACAAGGCATGCGAGAGTCGTCCTCTCTTCGCGTGCTCCCCGTGCCATCTCCAAGTCAAGAGAATGCCGCGTCAATCACCACTGCGGTCGCTGTGCCCTCACAATCTCCATCGCAACCGAATGTAATATCCCCGGTGACTACCGGCCACGCCCAGCAGCAGTTCCAGCAGCACTCTCCCGTTTCTCGGGGCTCGCAGTGGCACGTCGTTTCTGACCGAGCGGGGCCCGACCCTCCTCTAGCTGTGACAGCTGCCACAACCACCCAAAGTGTACCCATAGCGTCCCTCCAAAATCCGATCGAAGTGCCTTCTCCAATATGTGACAGCTCCAGTACTGTCGTTAATCGCAATGGCGCGAGTCCCTCGGTTACAGCATTTCCGTCCCCTCGCACCGTGGGGCCAGCGCCGCTGCGCCATCAGCCACAGGCCGGGACAGCAGTGTCTACGTCTTCACCAGCTGGGGTTGGAGCCGGGAATCCTTCCAGGGCCGGACGCCACCGGGAAAGGAGTAATACCTCACTGCAACCGCAGAGGCAGGGCTCGCACGCATCTCACTCACACTCTCCAGTATTATCTCCAGCTTTTCCATCGTCTGCCGCCTTCCCTCGACTACAGATGGTGCAGCCTCCTAATGCATCCCGGCGCAATCCTTCCCACGATCCCATCCTGGATGACGCATTCTACGAACGGTCGTTAAAGACACTTGAAATTTTCCAAGAACAGCTGAAGCAGAGGGATTGTCTCGGAAATGTAGAACAGCCACGGACGCAACTTCTCTACCAAGCCTGTGCTGAACGAGATCCTCTGTTCCTTGCTATTCATCAGGTGTATTGTCTTCATAGCCTTGCCCCACAAGAATTTCTCCAGTTGCCAGGATATACCGTGCTTCAGGAGTATGGCTTAGATGTGATTAGGAGACTTCTCGTAGAAAATAATCGGGTCTCAGCGGGGTTTCTCAGATGGTCTACTCAGTTCCCTGCCCCACTTGTTGGATTGATGCAGAGGTCTAGATATCGACAGGTTGTCGAGCAGGCCGGGCAATGTCTCCGCTTGCTGGCTGAGAGGTGGCCCATGTATGTGAAGGATGTGCGAAAGCGAGAATTCCCACCGTTGGTCGACGAACTTGTGAAGAACTTTGAAATCACATCGGGAGCCTTGGCGTATACGATCTTTCTGTCCACATGTCGGACATTACCCGGATCTAGGAGCGAAGAGCATTTGAAGGCCGTCTGGGAGCTAGATCTACGGTACTACCAGCAACGTTGCGCATCGCCGCGTCCGGTATCTAATGCACAGCTTTACGAAGAACACCAGAAGGTCATTCAGGCATACCGCTCGGTTTCTGTACCAACTGGCACGCATCAGCCAGGGCCACACCCGACCCTGTCCCACGGGTCCACATCGATCGGAAGCGAGAGAGATCCAATGGTACATTCAGTGGCCAGACCTACCAGCACAGGTGGTCCTCAAATCCGCAATCCTCAGATGATGCTCCCATTGCCCAGCCAAACTGGCCCTTTGGCATCACAGGGTACAATGAATACACATTCCCATCCTTTGCCAGTTGTGATGATGGCGAGCCGTGGAAGTTCAGTGCCTCATTCAGGGGCCAGGTCGTCAGGCACTCCAATACCTCAACCCATTAATCCGGAGGTAGCCTCCCCAACGTCGTGTCAGTTCTTGCCTCCACCGGCGCGCATGCCAGCCAATGCCCCAGGCTCTCATCCTTCAGCTCCTGTTGTCCACAGTCGACGTTCAAGTTGGACAAACGGCGCTCCGACCACTCAACATACTTACACACTTCAGGTGTCCGATCCAATGTCGCGAGCAACCGGCGCTCCAGCCCAAGCAGCCGCTCTACCGATGGTATATCCGTCTCAGATTGCGCATCCTCTACCGGGAGGCAGAATTCCGCCAATGCAACTCGCTGTCCAAGTCCCACGACAGGTAGCGACACGACCACCTCAACTAGAGGTACGAAACAATGAGGTTGGACCGTCCATGCAGCCAATGAATCTGAGGCATCAGACTCAACCCCCACAGTCTCCGGTGTCTCAGCAACGGCCTCATCCACGTCCTCCGCCTACCCTTCTTCTTCCACTTCCAGGCTCACATCCTTTGAATACAATACCGCCTCAACCCCTTCGTGATGCTCTGCATCAGGCCCACCTACGTGAGCCACACAATTACCTGCTTTCTAGAGGGCCTGCGGGCGAGAAAGAGATGGAGCTGTACCAATATCTTAGCTCGTTCGCTGTGCCGCCGACACCACTCGGTCGAGAACAGTGTGCCTTCCACTGGAGGTTTACTTTGTCAAAGGATAATTTGGACCAGTTTCCTAAATCTCATTCGGCCGGAATAGGACAGCGCTCGTTCCGTTTCTATTCAAGCGGCAATCGAGTATATCGGCTGCGGTGTATCAAGATGCCCTCAGTTGCCAATGAGGTTGCAGAGTCGATGTGGTCTGTAGCCGAGTCGGTGTGGCCGAGTGTTTTTTACGTTCACGTCAATGGGGTGGAGCTTTTCGTTCGTCGACGAGTGCATAATGGCAAAGATCTCCCGTTAGATATCACGGACCATCTCATTGAAGGGGATAATATGATATCCTTACATTTTATCCGTAGCCCAGCTGAAGCAAACGATATGTTATACGCAATGGCAGTTGAAGTGTTGGAGATCTCAGATCTGGTTCGAGCCTTTTCCCTTGCCCAAGCCTTATCCCCTTCGGAGTGTCGGGAGCAGATTTGCCAGCGTGTCTCTTCCAGCTTGCAGGACGACGAAGTGAGTGTCGTCAGTGACCATCTCAGCATCAACCTCGTGGATCCTTTCACCGCACGAATCTTCAGTCGTCCTGTACGCGGACGCTCCTGCAAACACCAAGATTGTTTTGACCACTTGACCTGGATACAGACGCGTGCCTCGAAGTCGGGAAAACGCAGCCTGAAAAATGACTGGAAATGTCCCATTTGCGGCCAAGATGCGCGTCCCCAACAACTGGTCATCGACGGTTACCTTCAAGAAGTTCGCGCGGAGCTAGCACGAATAAATCTACTCGAAGGAGCAAAGGCAATCCTCATCAAAGCCGACGGCTCCTGGGAATTGAAATCAGAATCAGACGCACGACCCTCAGAATGCGGGCCCGATAACACCGGGGAACGAGTCCCGTCTAAACGAAAAGCATCCGAGACTAGCAACTATTCCCCAGCTCCAGCTACCCAGAGGCCAAAATTTGAACGTACCAACTCTGCGAAGGGGCCGGTTTGCAATGCACACCCACCCGAAGTCATTGCACTAGATTAAATAAAGAGAGAGAGAGAGAAAAGAAGTCAACATCGCTATTGGGCCCCTTGCCAAGGAGAACTCCTGCATGACTGATGACCTATGTTCATTTGTTCTACTTCCTACCTTGCGTGTTCTTTGCATACTTGAGATCTGCGATTTCCTTTTGTCGAATAAGTCAGGCGCTTTTGTTTTGCGTACGATACCCAGCTTGCTCTTGTCTTTGTTGTTTTTTCTCGCCGCCCTTTCTATCTCCTTTCTGTCTTGCACTCTTGATTCAATCACTGCATGGGACTGCGTGTGGAATTTTGGATTGGTTCATTTTTATCTCCATATGATCTCTTAGCTCGTAATATATGCAGATACCATGTGCATATTCTTTAACTTGGCGTGCTATGTACAGTATACGAAGACGACAGAAGGGGAAAGAATAATTGAATGTCATGCGAACATGTCTTGTCTTTGTAGTGTTAAGAGAAGTAGACTAAGTTCATTAAACTAGTAGAATAATTGACACGGCGTAGTCCATGCCCTGTGTACATTAGATATATATACACACATTACAGGGCCAGGTCCACTCCAAACTAGTGGAGCGAATCTATATTATATAGGGTTGAAACTAGCGATGTGACGCAAGGTATATAGATCGGGATTGTATATTATAGATCTCAGGCTACCTATCCTAGCTAACCTATTCTATCTAAAAGAGATTATAATCTCATTCTAACGGGGATCATATCTAGAGTGAAAGAACGGATAGCAAGGTCCAGACCCCACCGAAACAAGAGGTATTAATAAAGTAACGAAGAGAAGGGGATCTCAGATCCAAAATCAGATAGGGCAAGTCGAGACAGCGAGGGGTGACAGGGGGATTGATAGCGGAAGAGAAGGGGAAAGGATATTCATTATGCTATACATTATTTTCTCACACGCCTAGCGTGATTGACAAGGTTCTCAATCACGCCTTCGAATGCTTCTTTCTCGCTTACTAGGCCGTCTCGTCGTTTCAGCCAGTATTCGAGGACAGAGCTGGCGCGGAGTGTAACGTTTTCCAGCTCATTTACGTGGCCCTGTAATTCGCCGTCCGTGAGTCCGTCTAGGGCCGCGTCTGTCGTGGAGCATAGGCGTCGGACAGCTGAGAGGTCTAGTTTGGGTGGTGGAGACGGTTCGCGCCGCCATGAAGCCCTATTCCGTGGTGGGCCAGACGTCGACGGACTGTTGGCGCCACTCTGAACGTCGTCTTTTCTGACTTGGCTTCCCGAACGGGAATGGGTACCCGAAGTAGCGTCGGGGCCACCAGGATTGATTGATGGCAAAACAAGTTTCTTTTGTTTCGAAGCTGGTAAGATCTCGTCGAGATCGACAGGTACTCCTAGCGACACCAGGAAGAGACGACGGATCCGAGATTTCACCCAATTTTGGGGCTGTAGTGGTGGAGGTGCAACAAGCTGAGACCACAATGATAAAGAGCGTTCAGTGTTGAAGATGGCTGAGTTGTTTTGGAGTGGTTCTATGGGAGGGAGTGATGAAACTTCCTTAGCAGCGGGAAAGAGACGGTCCAGAGGTTCGTCAAGGGCAGCAAAAACATCGGAAAGTGATTGGCAGGAATCGAAATCTGCAAGAGGTGGCTACCGGGTATTGTCAGCATAACTGCCCTCCAGGAATAACGGAATATCATAGGTGCTGGAGTTACTTACAACTGTAGGTGTATGTTGAGGTGTTTGGACCACGAGTTCCTCATCAGCAACCTGTGTACCGGGCTCTTGGAAATCCTCATCGAAATCGTCGAAATCGCCGAAGTCATCCTCTCCCATGTCTTGTTCCTCCGCAAAATCATCAAAGTCATCTGCAGCCGCCGGGTTTGCCCCATCGTCGCCGGTCACAGGTGTTTCCTGCTCGTCATGACTCTGATGTGGGGGGCTATCTTGCAACGGTGACAGTGCATCTGCATTGGTCAATCGTCCATTTTAAACCCACACTATCATGGAGAGCGAGAGATTTTACCTGGGCCATCTGGAACAGTTTCCGTCACGTCGGGCAATGCATCACTTGGCCGCCTTTGGTGTGCTCGTGGATTTGACTCTGTATCCTCATTCGGTAAAGTATCTACTCTCTGGAGGACTGTTTCGGGGACATCAGCATCCGTAGAGATTCCCTCGTTAAGACCCCGCTCATTTAATTCCGGGCTGTGCGACAGTGACTTCGTGTCCAAATCCGAGGCTGTCGTCACAATATCGGGAACCGCATCGGCCTTGCGCTTTTCATACGCCTCGGTTCCAGGTATCTCTCCATGACTTGGTTCGTCCGCATCGACTTTCTCAACTATTGTCCGGGGAATTGGTGAACCTTCCGGCGTCAAAGGGCGCTGTGGTCGCCCCACTGTCGAGGAGCTTCGACTGCGCGACCCTTCCGGAATAACCTCAATCTCATCAGGAACTGCATCATGCTCCCTTAGCTCGTATGCTCGAGTACCAGGAACGTCGCCGTGCGAAGGACTATCGTCAACCTTCTCTACCCGAGTCAGTGGAACAGGAGATGTGCGACCGGACGCCGAGCGCGAATGGGCACGTTCATGGCCTTCGCTGGCGTCTGAGAAATGATCATCGTCACTATTTGTAGCTGTTGAAGTAATATTGTCAGCGATAAATAAACTGGACCAACTCGAGCGTTTCGGTATGTACCATACCGGAGTCTCGTGCCCCGGAGTCCACCAACTCTACGCTTTTGCTTGGGGGCTCCAAGTGCGAACTGGATGGGCGGGATGGCCTTTCGGACATTAGAGTAGGTTTACTTTCCAAAAAGACACATGTAGACAGGTGACAATAATTTATGGGACGGTAAAATTGGAGTGGTATAAGGAATATTTAAGGTTGCAGTGAACAGGTGGTGATGTTGTCGCTGCTCCCCTATGGTTAGAATAACTGGTTCCATGCGAGTCTCGAACATATGCCTGAGGCAGTGCAGGAGACATGATAGTGCCTAAGGTGTCGAGATAGTCGCCCAGCCGAGCCAAGCGCGGTTCCTCCAGAGAATCTCTCAGCTTCGGGTGAATAATTAATTGATTTGGCTGTTGGACTGCGCCAATCCCCATACCAAGAGCCATTCACCTGCCGATTTATCTTTCAGGGCTCATCGTTCCTGGGCGCAGTGAGTTACCTTCAATTATCTGTTTCTTAGCTTTTTCATTGCCCTAGGATTAATTGACTGATTGCGTGTCATCTCTATTTTTTCCACTCCAGGGTAGCCCTGTTGATACCTTCACAATCCAACGCCATGTCTTTTTCATTCGGTGCACCAGCCTCCAACGGGGGCTCTGGGAAAAGCCTTTTTGGGACTGCTGGCAATTCAAATACTGGATCGAGTCCGGGTAGTCTCTTTGGAAATGTAGGAGCATCAACAAGCGGCAGCTCCTCACCTTCATTGTTTGGCACAAGTTCTGCGACTGGTGGCCAAGGGTCTACGCTGTTTGGTGGTGCCAGTGGTAGCGCTGCTACACCCAGCGGCGGTACTTCTGCGTTCAGTTTCGGTACTCAGAATAAACCCGCGGGTACCACTCAGCCAACTTCACTATTTGGCAGTGGATCGCAAACCCCAAAGTCGAACGAAACGCCCAGCTCCGGACAGACACCTGCCGGGGGTCTCTTTGGAAACGCCGCAAAGCCCGCAGGCGGCCTATTTGGCAACGCAACTTCCACCCCCGGACAGTCAGGAGGTTCGATCTTCGGCAACACCGCGTCCACAACTCCTGCTGGTCCTCCCCCACAGGGAGGTGCTACTGGCCAGCCTCAGTCGCTTTTCGGGCAGACAGCACAGAAGCCAGGTGGTCTGTTTGGAAACGCGAACACAACTAGCTCTTCATCCACCACCCCTACTACCGCAACCGCACCCTCCACCAACCCATTGTTCGGAGGAGCTTCGCAGACGCAGACGCAGACGCAGACTCAGTCGAACGGCGGCGGTCTTTTCGGATCGAACACACAAAGTACACAACAGAAGCCCTTGTTTGGCTCGACCCCAGCAGCATCCGCGGGAGGTAATCTATTTGGAAACGCTAACAAACCGGCGGAATCAACAACTCCGACCACCAGTGCTGATACTGCCCCCAAGCCATTATTTGGCGCTGCCCCAACCCCTTCCGCCGGAGGTACGACGAGCACTCAGACACCTTCTCTTTTCCAGAAGCCAGCTGCTGGAACGGACTCCACGGCAAAGCCTGCCTTCTCTCTGGGTACCACAAATGCTAGCGCGCAGCCCTCTACGACTCCGGCCGCATCATCTGCTACTCCACAAAAATCCCTATTCCCTGCCATTGGTGGTACAACCGCTTCCGCAACTCCATCAACAACTCCTGCAGCTGCTCCTAGCGGTGGCATGTTCTCTGCGCTTGGGGCCCCTAAGTCTACAGGAACGACTGCACCGAGCACTACTGCTACCGCAGCCCCTGCTGCCCAACCCGCGGCACCCACGGGTGGATTGTTCGGGAACAAGCCTGCTGGGACCGCCGCACCTTCACAACCCTCAACCACTTCCGCAACCCCCACTACAGCCACAGATGCCTCTAAGCCATCGTTCACCATACCCTCCGTGCCGACGACATCGACCACTACTGGCACAACAGGCACCACTGTGACAAGCAACACGGCAACCGGGGGCGCCGCGCTTGGCGCGTCGACTGCTGGTCCTACTCCCCCAGCTCAGTCTCGCCTGAAAAATAAGACCATGGATGAGATTATCACCCGTTGGGCTACTGATCTGACTAAGTATCAGAAGGACTTCAAAGAGCAGGCGGAGAAGGTCGCCGAATGGGACCGGATGCTTGTTGAGAATGGCACTAAGGTGCAGAAGCTGTACGGTAGCACGGTTGATGCGGAGCGTGCGACTCAAGAGGTCGAGCGCCAGCTTGCTTCCGTTGAGGGACAACAGGAGGAACTGGGTTCGTGGCTGGATCGGTATGAACGTGAAGTTGATGAAATGATGTCGAAGCAAGTGGGGCCTGGTGAATCCTTGCAGGGACCTGACCAGGAGCGTGAGAGGACGTACGTATTTCCCTAAGTTCACAAGCTGTTTTCTGCCGAGATGGCACGTACTGACACATTCATAGTTACAAGCTGGCCGAGAAGCTTTCGGAGCGCCTGGACGAGATGGGCAAGGATCTGACCAGCATGATCGAAGAGGTCAACGGTGCCTCTGCGACACTCAGCAAGACCAACAAGGCAGATGAACCGGTTAGTATAGCCTTTGCGACAGATTGCATGATAGCACCACTAACAGTTCTGCCAGATCTCTCAAATCGTACGCATTCTCAATTCCCATCTGTCACAACTACAGGTTATCGACCAAGGCACATCCGAACTCCAAACTAAGGTCAGCGCAGCCCAGAAGGCTGGGCAGTCTCTGTCTTCCCGGTTTGGTTATGGCTTCAGCAGCTCCGGCATGGGCAACTCGACTGCGGCTGATGATTTCTACCGTTCTTACATGGGACGGCGGTAATGGGGAGATAAAAAACTTTCGGAATCATGGGTTTAGTTATACGAGGAAACATGCGGCGATCGTTATCATTGATCGGAGAATATAATGTACTTGTGCTGGGTTGGAGCTGTGTGTTTTTTCTGCCCTTTTAATGTTCAGGCTATTGTTGGCAGTTTAACAATGGGCTAATGACAATTATACGCGTCCATGGCTTGGCAGTATGCCAACTATCGTATCTCTAAAACGCACAAGGGAGATCAAAATAGGAGGGAGAGTGTAGATTACATCGAGGGAAACTAAATCATGTATAATATGCTACTGTGATGGGAACCTGTGAGCTAAAGAAACTGCGTCATCTGAGTTAAACCAAGGACTTAGTTCTGTTCACCGCCCTGGTTCTTGGTCAACTCCTCACTACAATCGCAAAGAAAAGTAAGTTAGTCACGATCCAGGTGCAAAGTACCCATTTTGCGGATCAGAGAAGACATACATGTGCTTATCCAACTCGTCGAGGTGCTTGCGCTGTTCCCTGACCTTGTTGCGGAGGGCTAAAAGCCTACAGAGACAAGTCAGCATTCGTTTGCAACCGGGGAATTCCGGACCGTGCCATGACAAGACAGAATTTAACCAATGGAAACGGTCCAAGGGGAAACAAGAGAAGGAAAGATGGATACATACTTCTCACGCTCCTTCTCGTGGATGTAGAGGTTCTCCTGGGCGGCTTCGCGCTTGGTGAATTGGTCGCTGGATGCATGCATTAGTGCCGTTGTCCTATTCACTAGCGATGATGTCATCATCCTACGGCCGGATGATGACCTCTTTCATCGGCTCAAAGTAACAGGGGGGGATCAAGAGCGACATACGCTTGCGCAGAACCGCCGGGACGGGGAGCACCGGTATCACCTGCGGCCATCCTGGGGGCGAGAGCTGAGAAAGACCGGGAGACGACGGCACGGTTGACGGTGGTGAGAGGCCTGACGGATTGACGGAGCATGGTGATTGTAGAGAGGCGGAGGATAAGGTGTGGGATCTGATGCAATTTGTTGAAAGAGAGGTTTAAGAGAGAGTGTGTGTGAGGAAGAGAAGATTGAGAAGGAGGAATGAGGGGAGGAGTAACTAAGGTTCTAAAAGTACCTGGTGGTGAGTGATTGGTTGCAATGGTACGTTCCTGCTGTTTTGGCTTGTCAGACGGAGCTGAGGTCGAGACCCAATGACGACACTCGGGTTCGCGGCGGGTCATGTGATATGGTGGCCTGTTGGCAACGCGGGTGAGTCAGCGGGTCAGGTGAGTGATGTTGTTGTTCATTTTGTTGTTGTGGAATCCCCTACTACTTACTAGTACGGAGTACTCCTACTTTGCTCACGCGCGGGAAATTAAAATGATTGAATGTTTCTATTAATACCACACGCAACAAGTGTATTAATTAGTATCACATTTTTCCCTCCCTGTCCGAAGTTCTAGAAACAGGGATGGATTCATTCCAGATGTTGGGCCTAGAAGAGAGAGAGAAAAAGAAAAGAAAAAACATCAGTAATCCTCCGTTCCAGAGCAAACAACTGGAAACCTTCTTGGAGCTTTCTCTCCCTTATCGATTGAAGTTATCTCCGACACCCGAACCAAATCCGTGGTATCGTATTTGCTACGGGGCAGCGGGAGTAGTTAGGATTCGTTCATTAATCACAGTTGAACACAATTATAATAGGTGACATCTCATTTCTTCAAAGGGGACTCTGGCGCCTGGATATGGGCCTATGGAGGAGGTGACCATTGGACTAGGACCACTAGCTGCGAGGCTCATTCAATAATGGCAAATCACTAGGATACAAGGAAGAAACGACCCATACTCGGATCTCTGGTGCGGGCGGGACGATTGGCGGAGAGGGAAATAGGGATGACGCTGAGAGGCCCACCGAACCACACAAACGACGGGTTGTCTGAACGAAGAGAAGAAAGGCGTCAGGAGAGAGTGAGTGTGGGCGAGGAAAAAGGGAGTCCGCGGCTAATCATCCGTTACTGTAGAACGGGGGGAAAAAAAGGGAAGATGAAGCAATCTATTTTACCAAAAACAAGACACAGAAAAAGGGAAAAAGACAAAAAAGGGAAAGGGATTGGATATAACAACCATAATAAAAAAAATACCAGAATAGTATCAAACAATCAAAAGATAGAAAAGGAATTTCGAGCAATGCAAGGTAATCGGAAAACGAATTGAAACGTATAAAAAGACAGTCAATTCTGGATGATTCGGCCGTCGAGTCCGGGTGTATTGTATTCCTCAGGTGTCGACGACGTTCCCCCCCCATTATTGAAGCGTTGAGCCAGACGCTGGCACTCAGTGATTGACTTCTCTAGGTCTCCGCCGCCAACTCCCCCCTTCCGTTTACTTTCCCCTCCCACTTCTTTCCCCCTCTTGGTCTCTCTCTCTCTTCTTCCTCTCCGACTTTTGTCATTACTTTTTATTCCTGCGACTAACGCTTAACCCTCCCCCGTTATAAAACTCTTCCTCATTTTCTCAACCTCCCAAAAAATTTCTAATTTTCATCTACCAACCCCTAAATAAATCCCCCGACTTATCAGGTGAGAACATTCCATTTCTGTCATCTTCCACTGTTTTCCCCCTCCTTTTCCCTGTTTCTCCCCATATCAACCATCACCATCAATCATCTGGGTCGTCATCATCGCAAACCGTCTGGAAATCATACAACGAAGGGTTATTTGGGCTATTACACACGTGTGTGTGGTGTTTATGGGGTGAATTGCTTGCTGGTTGTCGTCGCTCTCGTTGTCATGATCTCCGTTTAGACTACCGCTCTGGAATCGCCCATTCGCGACGCAAGTCAACGGCTAGCCGACTGGAGGACCAGCGGTGCGACGCCCACTTTCAACAATTCCCGACCGTCCCCAGTTGCGTTGATTTCATACTGGGGTTGAATACTAGTTTTTCCTGGTTTGGAAAAATGCATGAAATTATTTTTCCATTCAACCTTCGCATGCTTTCTTTTTGTGGGGGGTATTAGAAGGAAAGAAAGATGACGACGGAGGGATCTAGAATTCGTGTTCTTCGGGCCACTTGACTATCTCAGCCTCGTCATTTATCCTGTGACTACCCGTTTGCCCCTCATGTCATTCATGATTTAGGCCCCATTTCATACTCGCTATTCCCGCTGCTTTTGGCCCCTTCATTGCTGTGCTCCAATTTTGAAGCGTATCCACTAACAATCGACCAGAAACCTATCACAATGGGTCACGAAGATGCTGTTTATCTGGCCAAGCTCGCCGAGCAGGCCGAGCGCTACGAAGGTCGGTTTATCTTGATTTCGTCGATATCAATCTTTCGGTATTGACAGATTGTTCAGAGATGGTCGAGAACATGAAGGTTGTCGCCTCTGCCGATGTAGAGCTTACTGTTGAGGAGCGCAATCTCCTGTCCGTCGCCTACAAGAACGTCATTGGTGCCCGCCGTGCTTCCTGGAGAATCGTCACCTCTATTGAGCAAAAAGAAGAGTCCAAGGGCAACGAGTCCCAGGTTACCCTCATTAAGGAGTACCGTCAGAAGATCGAGTCTGAGCTCGCCAAGATCTGTGATGATATCCTCGAGGTTCTCGACAAGCACCTGATCCCCTCTGCCCAGAGCGGCGAGTCTAAGGTCTTCTACCACAAGATGTATGTTGTTGTCATCCTACGTCAATGCGATTGGTAAGATTCTAATCGCGTTCTTTCCAACAACAGGAAGGGTGACTACCACCGTTATCTTGCCGAGTTCGCCACCGGTGATCGCCGTACAGGCGCTGCTGACGCCTCTCTCGAGGCCTACAAGGCCGCCACTGAAGTCGCTCAGACCGACCTTGCTCCTACCCACCCCATCCGTCTGGGTCTGGCTCTTAACTTCTCCGTCTTCTACTACGAGATCCTGAACTCCCCTGACCAGGCTTGCCACCTGGCCAAGCTTGCTTTCGATGATGCCATTGCTGGTATGTTTCAGCCGACTTGACCGGATTATGGAAGCGGACAGCTCGCTAACGTTCGTCGCAGAGCTTGATACCCTGAGCGAGGAGAGCTACAAGGACTCCACCCTGATCATGCAGCTTCTCAGAGACAACCTGGTAAGATGAAATGCACACACCACGATTCCGCCAACCTTTACTAACACCGAGTAGACTCTCTGGACCTCGTCTGAGGCCGAGCCCGCTGCTGAGAACGCCTCCGCTGAGAAGAAGGAGGAGGCCCCCGCTGCTGAGGGCGAGAAGCCCGCCGCCGAGTAAAGGAGAGATGAAGGACTCGCGTCCGATCATGGATGGAGCACTCGGACGACGGGACTGTTGATTCACGCGAAAGAGCTAGAGTGTTGAAGAGGGAAAGGGAACAAGGCGCCTTTGACGTTTTCGTATCATACAATCTAGGGCAAGGTGGAAGCTTTTCGGCGCCACGGCCCCCGGATGGAGATTCGGTTTCTTAATGCTCTTTGGGTCCTCTGCTTTCTTTCTCTAACGCAGCTCACTTTGGGGCGTGATTGGCTTCTGCCCGTGCACCGGTTCTCCATCTGTGATTCAACTTTTCGTTTCTCGCTTGATTTTTACCTTATTTCCCTTTTAAATTTTTTGCCTATTGCCTCAACTACCCAAAGAATACCTTTCCCTGTTACAGACTCGTACCCCCTACAAACATCAGTCAAATCATTTCCCCTCGCAAGACCTGGACTATTACCTGAATATTGTCTTGGTTGCTTTCGTGCCACGCATGGCGTTTGATTGTCCGCCTGAGCTCGAATTTAGATCTAAAGTCCAGCAGCAGTGGTAACAAAGAAATCCGAAAGTTCAAACTTAGCGGTCTTTTGTGTAGAGTGATGGTGTAAGGATGCATTTTGTAATGGGCACTGGTTCTGGTACCGGTGTGATATCAGTTGAGAAAAAGTACCATTCTACACATCCGATTTCCTATACATCCTAAGAGTCTTAAGACAGATCCATGCAACAAGCACGCCATACAAACGTCCTCTTCCCCCTCAAAAAGCAAATAAAGAGGCAAACACGCCTAAAAGCTCCGTCCAAACTGACACATAAGATAGGCCTTGACGAAACAAACACAAAAGCAGAAGCATGACACAAAAAGCCCACCCATCATAACCTACTATACCAATAACCTACATATACAGACCTATATACGGAGTAAAGAGACAAAACACAAAACATAAGCGCCCCCCTACCCACACCAATTCTCCCCCCACAAAAAAAAAAAAAACAACATCCATCTACAGAAACCCACAATCCAAATCTCCCACATGAATCAATTACTCAGCCCCTACTCCCCAGCCACGGTCGAAGAAAAATGAAGGCCCCCAAAAAATAAACAAATAAATAAATAAAGATCATAACACAGCTCAGCCTCACACCCGAAACATGACGTATGCGGCGCGCGGGAACCCTCTTCCTTAATTATCCTTTTGTTTTGCTGGGAGATCGACAGGGAATCGCAGAAGGGGTATGATGTATCAGTATCTGTTCTTAACTATAAGATTGGGTTTTATTATTTACGGGTAGGTTTATTAATGTTATTATTATTTTTCATTGATCTTTATTAGATTTCCTTTGGGTCTGGGGCGTTGGGTTTGGGAATGATATTCCGGGATGTGTAGATTTTATGATGTCATTCATGTGCGTGAGGTGAGTGAGGGCTTGGGGCATCTTGGGATTGATGTGTTTTTCTTTTCTTTTCTTTTCCGTTCGTTTTTTGAGACTATGTTATTGTATGGGGGATGTGGGAGGCTCGGTTTATGGAGATATCTATTATGGGTGTGGCTGAGATGGTGCTAGTATAGTCTAGGACTAGGGACGGAGTGTTTAGATAGGTGGTTGAGATTGAGATTATGGTGGCGTTTTGAGGCTTTTTCTTGACAATCCAACTTTCTCGGACATACGGTCGTGGTAAGGTTAGATCTGGTGTTAGGCTGGGTGTTGGTGGAAGGGGACTAGCCTGGTATCAGCGACTAACTCCGTACAACGGACGCTTGAATTACAAGAAACGGAAAAACAGTATATCAATATCTCTGTATTCAATCAAACCGCTCGCTTCTGGGTATGTTAAGCAAATGTCTTCAAAGCCAAACAATATCAAGCCGAATCGTCAGACCGGGACGATCCCAATGTACACGATAATCATGATGTTGAAATAGAAAACAAACAAAACAACGGGCTGCTCCGTGAAAATGCTTTACTCTCCCCGCCTCGCCTTTTTGCAGACCATGAGAACAAATGCGCCCAGTGCGGTTTCCTGTCGAATCAATCAAACAAGTCTAATAGGTAATCCCCAGTAATTTCCGAACGCCGAGCGTGCTATGTATGCCACAAGTACAGATTGCCTCCCGGTATGACAATATAAGAAAACCGAAGAAAGAAGAAAAGCAAAGGAGGTTGAAAAAAAAAGGTAAGACAGAAGTAGAATCAAGTCAATATGGACAGTTGAAGATGGGCCCAGTCGGCACAGGAGAGAGACCATAGTGCTCCATCACGCAAGACGTCATCTGGTCGATACGAAGATCGGCGTGAACGGGATCCAGCATTGATCGTCGCCAAGCCGAAGTAGCACGCTCCTAACCGATACACCGGTGTGCAATGATGTCACAGGAGCAAACTATGTTATTCGATTTTCGCTGTAGTAAAACACTGTGGTAATCTCCATGCGTCGATCGAGGGAAAAGGCCGAATTCTACCACGAGTTATTGGCCAAGAGTGGTCAGGGTAGTTTGGTGCAGTCGACTGTGGCGAAACCATCGTGCGATACGTCCGCTACGGAAGTAGCAAATCAGAATATTAACTGGTGACAAATGACATTCGTTTGACGCCAAATGTAGCACGAGTGGCTCCCGGATATGCGCCGTTGCCATTCCGACCCCGCCGCACGACATGCAGTCAAAAATCGATTCCTCTCGTAATGTTGATACGTATTATAGTGCGGTGTGTGATCGTCCGCAGAATGGATGGTGCTCCAACAACCAGTCCAAAGAACGTGTCGCCAAGGGAGACCCAAAAATGTGATATGCGTAGTTGCCGAAATGTACAATCGAACCATGGCGGAGACGTATCTCGTACAGTTCTTTGGTTTTCGCTATACAAGCGGAGACATCGCCAGCCGTGCCCATGGGCTCTACCGACCGGGATGTTGAAGGGCGTCGCGTCTATTTTTGCGACTTTCTGACCTTGGTGCTGGATCTCGTCATTTCACTCTTGGTCATGTTTCGGGTCAATCCACCAATGTAGTCCTGCAAGAATTTGTTTTCACTTTCGAGTTTGTCGTGGTCCGATTTCACTGCTTCAATACGTTCGGCGAGTGCTTGAAGGGACGACTGCAGCGCCTTTGCTTGTCTAAAATCATTGTCAGCCAACGTATCAAGTAGCAAAACAAGTGTTGGATCGCAATGTAGACACTCACTCCTGCAAGGTCTGCCTGGCCTCCTTTCCCAGCCGCTCCAGATCAGCAGAGTTACGTCGGGGACTCATCGCACGTGCGTCATCCGGGGGAAATTCTTCTTCTTCAATTTCAATTTCAGGATGGTCTCGTGGAACTAGTATGGAGGCACTGGGTTTCCGACTGGCCATACGTGGACGTTCAGAACGACCGCGGCGTTCGGTTTCTGCGTCGGAGATAGAAGACGATGAGGAAAGGGAGGACATGTGTGCGCGGCCGTTGTCATTTGGTTGGGGCATCGTCGGAACGGGAGAGGAACCGTGCACATCGGAAGTTGACGCCATGATTTTCTTTCTGACCCTGGTGGCGTTGTGATGGAATTTAAGGGCGTCTAGGGCTGGGTGGTGGCTTTTTCCCTTGACGAATTTGGGGGGTACGAAAGTGTGGTTGATGTGGCGGGTTTCCACGTCTCCAGAGTGGATTTCGGTTTCCAGCACAATTAGTTGCAAATTCAATCGCAGCTGGTCGGACTACCTCTAGCGATTAACCCCAGATAGAGAATCTGTGTTTCCGCTGGAGGTAGCTTGGCGATAATCGACGGCGTTGGAACGAGGAGGAGTCTCCAGAATGGGTATCGGAAACGCTAAATCCCGAATACAGCGATAGAAAACTGGGGGAGGGGAAATAGCGCGACAGAAGCCACAAGCAGCAACGATGCTCAGGCACAATCCAGGGGTGAGGACAGAGATAATGAATAGAGGAGAGGAGGAGAGTAGAGAGGGTCAAAGAGTTCGGGGGGGTGAAATCGCGTCGGTTAAGCGAAAGTTGGGAAGGCAACCGATACTCCGGACAAAGCAATTCAAGAATGCTCCCGGTGGATTGAATTGCTCTCTGGTGCTTTAAATTTTATTTTCTTTTTCTTCACTTCTTTTCCTTTGGGTTTCCCCTTGATGTTTCTTCAGTTTCCCTATAATCCTCCTGTGCTATGGTCGGCGATGGACTGGGGGAAGGAATTCAGAGGAATAGAAAAGAAAAAAAATAAAGAGAAAGGGAAAAGGACGAAGGAGATGAACTCGTCGAATGATCCGAAAACGGGCAGACTAACAGCAGTGGGAAAGAAAGCCGTTCGGGTATAGTGTAGAGAGTGGGTTCTGGTAACAATCAAACACAATCACAAAGAACACGGAAAAAAGGGGATGGGAAAATGATGAAATGTGAGAGGGAGGGATGGAGGGATGAGGGGAGGGTCTGAGGGTAAAAAAAATACTAAGCCAAAAAAAAAAAGAAAAAGCTACGCGGAGAAAGAGTGTGAGAGAGAGACACAGGCAGAGAGACAGGATAAGAGAGACAGGTAGAGAGGAGTCGATTAAAAAATTAAATCAAATATTAATCAATGAAGGAGAGAATCCGCCCAGAGTAGCGGTGGTGAATTTTCCGCTCGTAATAATTCATGAAAGAAAAGGAAAGAGACTAAAGACGGATACTATGGAGGTACTTCCAGGAGACACCTATTCGTTGGGCAGAAGCAAGTATCGTGGTCGTACCTATGATGGAGCTGTACAACGCTGAAGAAGTCGTCGCAGTATTGAGTAGTATGATTGCTGGGTCTTGTAATACTTTTTCTTTTCCACTTCTTTCTTTCTTTTTTTTTGTTCTCTCTCTCTTTTTTAATTTTTATTATTATTATTATTTCTTTTTATTTTCTACTTGGTTGATGGAAC